GACGCGTTAATAGCCGTTAGACCTATTACCTAGGTATAGAGTAATAACTACCTAGTAAATAACTACGATAAGATTACGGAAAACGAGCTAACGATTAACGACTTCGTAAAGGCTTTACGGGCGGTTCTTAGTAATATAAAGAGCCTTTTATCTATCGCTATAAAGCCTAGAGTTAGGAGAGGCACCTTTAATGCCCTTAGAAACCTCGCCGATACTAAGGATACTGCTAATAACGAAGATAATAAAAAGCGTTCTTATAGTAACACGTCCGTAAAGGCTATCCCTCCCGTAAAAAGGAGGCCTTATAAGATATATAAGAACCCTTATACCACTACCGCTTATTAGTACGTAAGGCCGGATATACGCTCTTATACCTAGCGTGGCCGTGAAGATATTATAAAGGTCGCGGAAAAGAAGATATATATTTATAGTTTTAAAAGCCGCGTGGATACCGCGATATAGAAGAGGCGGGAAGTAGTAGCTATTACCGCTAATAAGATAAAGGAAGTCTAGGACGATTAACTCTATAATACTATACCTATTACTATAATAGTTTATAAAGACCTGTCTATTACCGTGACGGGACTAGGAGCCTACCTAACCTAAGGGGTGGCGTGTCGTCGTACGACGACACTATTAAGATTATAATGAGAATAAGGGGTATCCCTTTCTATTAATTAAGCCAGAGAGCTATTACACTACGCGATCCTAGATTCAGGATCGTTAATCTATATCTTTAATAATCGAGGCCGTTTTACGGCTATTAGACTACCTACGGATACTTTATCTTTATCCCTTTAGGTGGGTACTTATAAGGCTTCTATCCTCGGATACAGAAATATTAAGCTACATATACAATCCCTATCGGGCACGAAAAGGCTACTACGCCTTCGTGATATCGTATACTATAAGGAATTCGTTACTAATATTATCTCGGAACGCTAGCTACGCCTATAAGGCACCCGCGCGATAACCCGTATAGAAGATTATAATAACCGCGGTAACCGTAGAAGACCACGGTGTAATAGTAGTATAAACGCCTCGGCTATTATAGCACTAATACTCTCGCGAAGATCGTTAACGCTACTTAGGAGGTAAAGATAAAGGGACTATATACAACGGACTATAACGCGTATAGATAATCGTAAGTGCCTACGTAGATCCGGCGGATACTATCCTTTTACCCATTAAAGCCCGGAGAGGCCCTAGCTATTAATTTATATAATCTAAAAGAGGCGGAGTTATTAGCGGGCGGACTATAGAAGTCTATTATATTCGTTATAAACGTGTACACAGGTTATATATAGGATTACTATCTATAAAACAGAGACTAAGGCTCTATACTATACGCGTTAAAAGACGTATTTACCCTGCTTAAGACTTAATTCGACGCTAAGCCACGCGTCCTACGGGCCGATTCTAAGATATTTTAGCACCTAGAAATCGTTACTTTCCTCGCTACTAAGGGGGTAGAAGGTTAGCCGTCGGCACTATATTTATAGAATCAAAATAGCGTTAGAGAACAGATTAGAGGTATCGTTAAAAGGAGGGCGAGGGCTATAAGGATTAGGGCTAATCTGCCTATATCTATCTAGCCTAAGATCTTTAGGACTGCTATATATCTGTATAACAGAACACCACGATATATTAATAACTAGAAGACACTATACGAAGGCCTACACAGCCGTTAACCGGACCTTGCGCACCTGTGAGCGTATAGCTATAAAGCCTTTATAAAAACGCGCGATACCTAAGCTAAAAGGCACCGCCTATAAAGGCTAGAACCGAAGGTATAGATTGGTTATTATATTGGATACTAATACTCGAATAGCTTCCGTATTTAGCTACTATACCTAACGGATATTATTACCATGAGAGACGTGGTCTTTAACGAAGACGAGATATTTAACGGCAGGATTAAAACGCTATAAGCTATAGCTTCCGCCGAGGAAATCGGGGAACGCCTATAATCTATCCGTATCACCTAATCTAATAAGACCGCGAATAGGCTACTATTAAGGGGTATAGCCGTAGACGTATTAGATCTTAAATCGGAAGACTCTAACGCTACCGCTATTACTACGGATAAAGGCGAGGCCGTCGCTATTACTATAAAAGAGGCCACTACTATTATTATAGACTATACCGTTATTACTACGGGTACCGCTCTTACTACGGACACTGCTATTACTATAGGAGAAGACTATACTACCGCTATTACTACGGGTAAAGGCGATAACACCGCTATTACTACGGATAAAGGAGACGTTACCGCTATTACTACGGGAGAGGCCACCGCTATTACTACGGACACTTTACGGTTTACTACTATAAGGTTTAAACCGTTTCCTACGCCTTTAATATCCCCGGAAGATCCCGCGCGCGCGTTCCTTATAGCGTTAGCGGTGGTTAGGGGAATTAAGGTAAAAGAACACGATAACCACTAACGGATAGCTATAGATACCCCTAAGGGCTGCCCGTCGGCTATTATACGAACTATCGTAAGTCTATACACGACTAAGAAGGTCTAGAACGATAACGCCTAGAAGGCGTTCTTTAACGCTAAAAGAACTTATAACCCTATATATAGGAGGAAGTAAGCTATTAACGATAGCGACGTCGGTGCTATAGATTCTACTCCCTTTAATGTATCTTAGCCGCTATCTTATATAACCCGCGAGGATCTCCTGCCTCCACTAAAGTATTACCACGATATACGCCTTTACCCGTTATGGGAGCGGTAGTCATAGGCCGAGGGGGAATACCTTAAGGAGCACCGATAAATAGGCTACTAGTAGGAGGTAGGTAGTAATTAGGCTACTAAGTAATAAGTCCTCGCCTATAAATAGATATATACTTATAACTTCAATAAAGAGAGCACCCTTCTTAAGTATAAGGCACGCCTTATAGTATAAGGGGATTAATAAAAACGGTTAGAGACTAAAGATAACTATACCACCACGCTAGCCTCGCGGTCTTTCCGTATACTAATAGCGATCGCCGCTTAGTTTAATCTAGAAATAAGGTAGTTTAATGCTATTAACGCGTTCGTTAATATAAGCCTTAAAGAACAGGTATTTATAAAGATACTGTAAGGCTATAAAGTGCTAGGTAAGGTACTACTATTACGGAAAGCCCTCTTCGCCTTAATAGTATCGCTACTACTATTGTAAGAGGAATTTAGCGGTACGCTATAAAGGATAGGATTCACGGCCGTGCCTAATAATCCCTATATTATAATCCGCGACGGTTTAATCCTATTCTTCTATATTAATAATATCGGACTTATTTACTATAAAGATCGTAAGACGGACGTTAACGACCTCGAGGCCGCCCTTAAGCGAAGTTATACGTTATTAGGAGGCGAAGAAATCCGTTAGTTCCTAGGAATTAAGGTCCTAAGTTATAGCTATTATAATCCTCTTATATAAAGAAGATCGCGGTTAAATACTACGTACATATACTCTGCCGAAAACCACTAAAGGTCCTATTATTAACGATAGAGCCGCTAATACCCCGCGACGGTATATACGCGTTAATTCCCGAGGTCCGTTAGTACTAGGGTATAATCGGTTCTATCCTATATACCGCTATTATAATAAGACCCGATATCGTGTTTACCTATTCGAAGCTTTCCTAATATAACGTTAACCCCTCCTTTAACTACCTTAAGAGGGCTTAATAAGTGCTGCTATTCCTATACTATATAAGATACTACTACCTAGAATTTAGCGGGGATAGGCTTTTCCTGATAGTAAGCGACGTGTCCTTTAAGGATAATCTAGACCGTAAGAGCTTATAAGGATATACGATAAAGCTTTTCGGCGGCACCGTTAACTAGAAGGCGGGTAAGTAACTAATAGTAACGATATCGTTAATAGAGTCGGAACTACTCGCTCTTACTAAAGCAGCTAAGGAGATACTATTCGTTAGCCAGATATTGAGAGATTTAGAGCTTCGGTTAGACTAATAGTAACTATAGCTATATTACAATAATTAGCAGACTATTAGCCTCGTTAATAAGAAGCCATAACGCCTATAGACAAGGCTACGGTATATCGATATATATAACTAGTAGGCGCGCTAGTTAGTATAATAAGGTCTCTTTAAGGTTATATACGTTAATATAAAGGAGATAATCGCGGAAGGTTTAAGGAAGGCACTACCGGAGGCAGGGATTAAAAGACTATAGTAATAGCTTAATTTAACGGATTAAAAGAACTATATCGAGTAGTCTAAACGGCTATATAAAGAGATCGAACACGCTAAAACCGTAGCGACTATAAAGGCCCCGGAGGGCATAGCAGATCCGATAAATATAGATTAAGCAGATCCGGCTAATCAGGATTAAGGAACTAATTAAGATAGAATTAAATTAAACGGTTAAACAGGGCGGATTTAGATCCCTTTTATAAGGGCGTTTTCCCTTAACTATTAATTTTATAATAGAAAAGTTAAGAGCGTTTAGTTTAAACCGAAGCCTCTGATTAGTTAGTTAACCTAGGAAGACCCACCTTAACTAAGGGGGTATATCGTATAGGCACACGGACCACGGCGTGGTCTATAAAGGAACTAGGGGGAATCCACGCTATAACTAAGGGCTCCGGATATCGGAGGCCTCGGGTATTAGGATATAATAGGGGTGGATACCGGAAAAGACCGGATAGGATCTAAATAATATAGTACCTATAACAGAGTCTTCACTACCTAAATTGAGGGTATAAAAGACTCTCCTAGATATAACTTTACATAATACACACACACGAGATTTCTGCTCTACTAAGTTGATTATTCAAGTGCCTTTTGACGTGCGACAAGATATAGTATAGACCAGGTGGTGCCTGCAGGCAGGCAGCCACGCAATAACAGGAACCTGGCTGAGAAGTCACCTGCGACAGCTTAGTCAGCGTCCGATTACCATTTTCGTATGTACTCATTTTGCTGCTGTGCCAGTGGGGGGTGGTGGTGCTCCAAATCCCGCTAAGATGGTCATGTAGGTTAAAAAAAAAAAAAAAAAGAAGAAGAAGAAGAAGAAGAAAATACGCCATTGATTCGCCTAGATCATCTGAAGTTTTATTGGAAAACGGTTGTCCGTTCCTACTATACCGGCTTCCCCTCCACCTTACATATGAATCCCCTCACGGCCCCGTCACGGGCGGAAGCAGAGTGGTTTGCCGTCGGCCTGGCCTCGTCCTTCCCCGATCTCGGCTCGGACGACGGCAACCTCGCCAAACCACGGATCTGCAAGGGGGAAGCCACTCCGGGATGCAAGGTCTTCCATGTCCCTAGAACAGATAGCTCTCGAGGGACCCAGGTGCCCGTTGCAGCCGACTCCTTTGAGACACGCGAGGGAAGGAGGGGAGGCTTAAAGGAACAGGTCCTCGTGTTCCGATATAAGGGCAAGTTTCATGCGGTCGACCACGTAAGTGAAGCATCGCCCCCGGGCTGGCGGGCTTTTTGGACAATCTCGAGCTGATCGCAACCCTCGCAGCAATGTCCTCACTCCTCCTTCCCGCTTTCTCAAGGCATACCTTTTGATATCGAGGATTTTGGCGTCGTTCTCAGTTCCGGGCTCATGTGTCCGAAGCATGACTGGTCTTTTGACCTGTTCACTGGGACGTCGGACCGTGGGAATTACAAACTGGGGGTGTGGGAGGTCCAGTTGCGTGAGGTGGGCGGAGAAGGACGGACAATATCCAGAGAGGAGGTTGATGCTGGGGTTGAGACCGCATGCACAGATAAAGAGGTGTGGGTGAGGAGAAAACAGAGAATAGGCTAGCCAACTCCAATTTGTCGTTTTAACATTTTCTGGACCGGTCTCTCCGTTTCGCAATAAGAGTTCTCATCAGACGCCCTAGAGCGAAACTAAAATAAACCTTGGTGTCCTTGGAAGTTTTGGACCCTTTGGTGGTCTGACCTAGTGAACCATGACAGAATGTCCGGCAACCGTTTTCCAGGCCGGATCCCAAGTGGCCCGTACATTACCAACAACATCCTTCTCACAAGCCAAAAAGGGGAGATTATGAGATGGAATGAGCACCAGGCTGGGACTTTAACGCGATGGGGACCTGAGGCTCCGTTATTTTTATTCTCAACTTGCCTTTGCATTGACTCTGTCACGGGAACAGCCATTGCTATTATTAGGTCCAAGGAAAGCTTGACTGAATCCTTCGACTTTTACCTACTACTGTAAAGAACAATGAGCACGACCGAATTATGTACGAGCCTGTGTACGTTGTAATTACGGAGTGGGGAGACGGACGCGGAAACTGCCATTGGAGCCCACTGAGACGCGACAAGGGGCTTCCTTGACGACTTGGCATCCTGCTGTGCCTTCCTGTCATCGCTAAACCTTTGTTGGGATAAAGCGTCATCTTATGTAAATGCTGTGCCCCAAATACCCGCAACACCCCTTGCCCCTTGCGTACAACGTACGTGGAGGCGCGGTAAAAGACGAACGCGCCAAAAGGGAGGGCATGGAAGATTTCGAGAGCCCCTTGGCCCTAGGATTGGCAGCAAAGCAGTGGAAGGCGTCGGTAATTTGGATTAGGACGGCAAGCTGCAGTGGCGGAGTCTTCTGATTGGTTTCATTTTGTCCCATTTGCCCAGCAGAGATTAACAGATCTGGACCGGGGTTCCCGGTGATGGTCTAGGCCTGCGGAGCACTGCCCGGCATGATACCCATGGACCCCTCCCCAATCCCCATCGGGCGCTGCAGCCTTGGGACTTTTCAATCCAGGAGGTGGTCTTCGTAGGATTCGGGGGCTAGGTTGGTTGAGCCACCGAGAGAATCCATCCAGAACCCGGATTGCTCGGCCGCACGAGACAAGTTTCAGCCTTCATCTTCCTTTTTTTTCAAATAAATATACGAATACAATACCTCTTCGAACGTTACACAATCGCACCGCATGATCTCGCAAAGGTAGTCGCACGACAGTCACGGCTGCAACGGGATCGAACGACAAACAAAGCGACGGCAGGTTCCCATCGGTTCAGGCGGACACAACGCGATGTTCCGCACTGGGCTGACCTGCCTGGTCGCACTTACGGACCTCTTCGGCGAATACAGCCTCGGACGGCGACAGACTATCCCGGCGCCAGACCCCAATGTCGACGAGGTCTTCGACGGCGACGACGGGCTGTATGCCCTCGACGACTTGGGCCTATCTGACCTCCCGCAAGCGCAGTGGACGAGCACCAGGTGGGCAGAGGGCGAGCTCCCCGAGGCCTGCTACCTGTACACGCTGGAGCGGGATCTGCTGGGAGGTAGCTGCCGGCCGTCGGAGATGCAAGTGTATTCGGTGACGTACGAAGACTGTGAGGACCCTTGGATCATCTGTCGGTGCGGCGATGCCACAGGTGACGCCAGGACCATGATCCGGCATCTGGGGTACGTGTAACTCTTTGGACCCAGGGATTCCCGGAAGAGAAAGAGGAAGACGAAAAGAAAAAAAAAGCCAAGTCAAGGGGGTCGTGAATCCATAGGGGACAGTGAGCTAACCGGTGCTGGCGGCCAACGCGTTCTGGGGTTGATACAGACAGCTTCCGGTCCAGTCTCGAGAATACGTCCGCTACGTGATGATGACGGCGGATAGGGACAACACCGCCGCACTGTCGATATACTGGGAAGGGGATCTGATCGTCTTCGGCCAGAGCAGCTCGGTATCCCTGTTCGTCCACGAGGTAGCGCATAACGTCGACTGGTGGGAGTTTGGACGGAACGGGTTGGCGTATTCCGGTGAGTCTGTCGCAACGACCTACCTACCTTGTATCCGTTCACGAGGCACACCCCACGTGCAACAATGGGCGACCAAAGGTGTTGACGGACGGCAGATTTGAGTGAATGGCACGACGCGGTAGACAACGAGACATGCGTGGCTGCTGAGTACGCCAAAACAAGTAAGTTAGACCCCATCAGGGGCTGGACGAGAGGAAACGAAACCACGAGGTAGACATGTCGAGACGGAAGCTAACCGCGTCTGCTACGATAGCGTACGGCGAAGCGTACGCAGAGACGGCTGTCATGGTAGCGTACGACGTCAACGTGGAACCGATCAGCGAGATTGTCGACTACAGTTGTATGGAAGGCACGTTCAACATCGTCAAGGAGCAAATGGGCGAAATGCTCCGGTACGACGAGGGCAAGACATGCGGCAGCAGGATCAGGCATGACGAGCGAGTCTGCGTGCGAGGCCGAGACATGGTAGCAGCGTGTCCGGACAGCGGTAACGGTAACGGTGTCGGGGAAGACCACGACTCTTCGTCGGGTTCCGAGTCGGTGTCGGGGTCGGCGCCGGGTCAAGGGACGGTGACGGAGAGCGTGATGGTGACAGCGACATCGACATCGACGGCGACGGAGACGGAGACAGCAACAGGGAGCGGCGCAGTGGAGTCGATACCCGTCGGCGATTCGAGCGCGCGGCCGGGGGTATCGTTGGGGAAGATTCCTTTCTTTGTATTTCGAAGCGTTGCGCGGGTAACCAATTTCTTGGGAGGGCGGCGGGCGTAATAGGCGGCTGATGGAGATACCATTTGGAGAAATAATAGAGGGCAAGTCGAGTAGCTTTACTTGGTCGGCGAGTTGTATACCTTAAGGTGAGTGAACATTCTGTCCGTATATGCAGTGAAGATGCTGAAGGCGGGCAACGATGATGGTGTTGTCGATGCTGACGATGAACGTCACGGCTATGACGACGAGTGGGCAAAAATACAGGTAGACTGGCTGTTACGAGTACCTAGAGTACCTTACCTTAGGTATCTTACCTTACCTAAGGTAGGTAGGTACCTACATCAGGTACGTATTCGTAAGTGGGGTGCTGACTCACCCATGTCCACTCCCCTACACGGGCTATGCGACAGGCCGGAGACACCTATGGCAGGCTATAGGGGTCACTGTTGCAAAACCCCAACATTCGCCAAGGGAGTGCCAAATGGATCCTGTCGATTCACCCGCAGCTTCAAGTTCAACTCGAGTGGTAATTAGACTATCTGCGCTCGGCGCCGGGGCCTTCGTCAGCCATCACCGTACCTTCCTCTCTGGCGAGTGGTAAAACCCCAGAACCCTGTTCCAAACCACCGGTTGATCCATTGGTAAATGGTTCAGCACGGCATCCTGCACCTTTTCTTTGTCGCTCGGCTTGGGGGGATATCGGCACACGGTGGTTTGCTCTTCGCCCGTGTGCGCTATGGACGTCCGTGTGTCTCGCTTCTCGGAGCCTCGGCGAAGGTCGAGGCAAACCAGAGCCGTGCCATGCCGAAGGGCGACGACAACAAAGATCAACCCTGCTGCTACGAGCGTCCTCACCTCGGGTTTAATGTCGATGGAGAAGCCGCCGGCGAATGCCTGTTCCTCCTTCCTCGTGAAAAGTCGGTTGTACGGCCCACGAGTGATCAGGACGCTCTCCGGCTCCTTGGTAAGCAAGTAAAGGATAAGGTCCTGCTCGTTGGCACTCGTGACGGCCCGCAGCTCACTCAGGCTTCGGCAAGTCACCCTGCCGAGGAGAAAGTCCCTCCATGGCCACTCGGTCACCCGAATGCTCTTGGCGATCAGGATGAGAAAACCGGCGAGCAGCCACGAAAAGGAGGCGATGTTGAACGGGTCCACCCCTTCCACCCTGTCTCCAATGGTAAATGCGGCAGCCAGTCCGCCGGCCACCAGGAAACCGGCAATGCCCAACACCGAGTACACATACGAAACACACTTGACACGCACAGCCATTTCGTCGATGTCCCAATCTTGTCCATCCGCGGCCAGGCGCGCCCGGCGCTCCTGGACCTCGTGCAGCCTTTGCTGGACTTCGTCTGCCGGGATGCTGCTCCAGGCCGCCGTACCGGTTGGGATCCTGGAATGCGAAACTTGCCTGTCCGAGTGGGCAAGCAGTGATTGGGAGAGGGATCGAAATTCTGCCCCGGGGAGGCTCGAGGGGCTGTTCTTTTGGAAGGTCCGAGTATGTATGGAGACCACGGCGGTGAAGGAGGGCGAACGTGGCGTCAATTGCTCCTCGACGTCGATGGAGAGCAGACCACCCAAACTGCTCAATGAAGATCTTAATACAGAAATTATTTCTGGGCTGGTAAGGAGCACGGGAATCATGACTGTGATAATCTGAGCCAGGTTGGTCAGATTCACCGGCGAAAGGTCGACCACAGTGTCATTGTTGGGGTCCTCGCATCGCTCCCGTATCTGGAATGTGATAACCGTCCCGCTACCATTTTCATCTTGTTTAAGTTTGGGGCGGTAGTTGACACTTGCATTTTGTTCATGTTCCTTTTGGACCTCTTCAACCGCTTGTTTCGCCAACACATACCCCAGATAGGCATGTTTGATGAAGTCGGGATCACTAGATCCGTGCAACTCGCTGTTGCGGTCCTGGTGCATATAGACGGGGAACGGGGTGTCGGTGGTCCCTCCCCGGTATGTGACTGTGGAGATTTCAAAGCTGTCGAGGGGGGATCCGGCCATCAGGTAATAAACCAGACTGCGGAGGGTGGAAGATACCCAGCTGAAGGCATCAGCCATGTCCGACAAATAGGGGTCTTCGGAGTCATCCTGGACCTCGACCATCACTTCCAGCTCTTTCGCGTACTGCGACGGCTCACCCTCTCGGTGCATGTGCTGCAGAGGCGCGGCATTCATCATGGGCATGCCGTCGAACTCCCACCCTCCATCACCGACGTCCTGCATATGGCCTAGGTGAGTGGGCCCCTGCTCCGGCAGTCTGGTTTTTGAATTGTCAAAGACGCCCTTGACCCGTTGCTCTGTTTCGTAGCGCCTGATGGCATCGATGGACCGCGTGACGTAAGTGTCGGGCTTGCGGGCCAGGATCTTGAGTTTCGCTGAGGATTTCGCAAGTCCAGCCAAAACCCGCCGTTGCCAGGCGCCCTCTTCCGCCGCAGACACGCCAAAGCGGGCCACAACAGCGGTCAAATAGTCAACCATGGCAAAATAGCTTTCCAGGAAGGACTCCTCAGAAACGTCTTCCGAGTCTTCTCTGGCCGTTTTGTGCGCGCTCTTCGGGTTGTCCAGGCGACTTTGCAGGATCTCCTTGCTCATTTGCCTGGCGTTTTTGTGGCTCAGTTTCTCTTTGGACTTCCAGAGCAAAAGTTCATTGTCGAGGATGCAGATATGGAGGTTAAGCATGATCTGGTCGGCCAAGGACGCCAGACGCTCGTATGATGATTTGGAGTCGTCCTGCTGAAACTTGCCGTAGCTTTCGAACCGCAGCCCTGTCCTCATGCCACATGCATCGACAGCCCCCATCAACCTGGTGGTCTCATGTTCCCACAACATGTTCTCTTGCGTCTCCGAGATGTCATAGGGGCAGACATCGTCGAACTTGGGTTTGGGTCCGTCTTCACCCAGGTGAGCGCGCACTGTCTCCAGCACTTCGTTAAGCGTCGTTTTGAGCGTCCATGCATGTGGTCGGTGCTCAGGCTTGGATTCCGAGGTGGGTGTGGTATTCTCGGGGTCTGTGGTCTTTTCACCACTGCCAAGGAGTGGCATGTTTGCTCTCTGGATGATCCTCAAAGTATGCCTCGGCAACGAAGATTTGTGACTGAAAAGAAAATCAGAAGATGGGACTTGATTTGAGGTGGGTGGGACCGCTGATATGAACATGAAATTTCAGCGTCCCAGTCCGTGAGACCAGTCCGTGAGACGAGGCTCTCCTTCCCCTCGACATCAAGCTGCATACACATGCACGGTATTAGCAATTTACCGAGCCTGGCTGCCTGGGGCCGAAGGATCAGGTCCTGAGGGAGGGCGACAGCCAGTAAGATCAACCCACAACATACCGGCTGCTCTAACCTACTGTAGCAGCACAGCCAGCCACCGTGGAACACATGCAGATATTGGCTGACAACAGTAGAATTCATGTTCACATCAGTCAGCGCTGCAGCTTATCTGCGGCCCGCAGGTCAAGAACAAGGCCCCTCACCAATAAGCGTCCGGCCAATTTCAGCTCTTACCTCGATAGCCCCAGCCCTATTGCCCGCTCAGGCCTCAGGGTGCATGTGGGTAGCCGTGACCGACAGCGTTGCAGTGACAGCAAGATTCCTCTCCGAGCCTCGTTGTTAGACGGCACCTTTAAACCTCATCTCTCCATCCACCTCGCTGGGTGTCAATGCCGCCCATGGATGATGGACTTGAAACCTCCTTGATTTTCGACATGGAGCAAAAGAGCCCGACCGCAGCATACGAGGAGATCCTTGGGGAAAAGCTCGTTTCCCCCGAGCCCAAGGACGCCTACGAAGATTTTGATCCAGAGGATAACAGCAGCACTTCGGAGCCGACGTGGAAACCGGAGTTGAAGAGACTCGTGGAGCTGACCGACGGAGATGGAGAGCACGAGGTGATTGCCTTGGAGAACTTCAAGCCCGTGAACCCCACGCCTGCACGAGGACAAGCCCAGAACGAAGAGGAACCAGAGCCGAACAATGGACTTTTCAGCGATTCTGCCATCCTGCTCAGAGCCCATGTGCGAAAAAGCACGGGCCGCTTTGGCACCAATCTCTCCACCACTGTCGAATGGCGGCTCGAGATCCAGTCCGAGAACTTGAGGAGGCTATTCAAGATGCACGCCAGGCGCCACAAAGAGCTCAACCTGGATGCTAGCCCCATCGTCATCGAATATCCTTTCAAGTGCCTGTTCTTCCTGCGGGACAAGCTGAGAGAACTCCTCCAAGACGATACAACCCCTCTCGGAACGCGCGACGAGCTCCGTCCTCTGCTCGACTTCATCGACGAGCCCCTGGGTTCACAGAGACACATTGAGGAATACGACGCCCTTGTGTTGAAGCAACATCAGATCAACTTTCGCATGCTCTGGTCCATCTTTCCCCCCTACTCGCCCGTGGTGATGAGTGATCCGGCAGACAAGCTGGCCATGAGCAACGGGTACCTACTCGAGTCGATCACCCTCCAGCGCGGTGGGTGGGGTCAATTACATCCGTCCTGGGAGCTCAGTCTCCTGCATGGCCATCACGACGGTGCCGAGTTTAGCATCCGTAGGACCACCAAGCACATCCCGTTCTTCAGCGGAAGAAAAGAGATCAGTCTCCACCAGCTGCCCGTCATCCCCCTCCATCTCATGGAGGCGAGGCAACAAAAACGGGTCTGGGATATGCTCGTCGAGCGAGGCAAGAAGTACGTCCGGTACTCCGAGGCCGACACCAACGTCCTGCACTACAAGGGCCGTGTCACGCTGCAGAGCGCAGAGGTCGACGCGAGATTGGGGGCTTGGGGCTCGGCCGGAATCCTGGAAATCGACGAGCACGTGGTCCTCGACAGGACAGCACAGAGCAAGGTTGCGGGCATCACGGACGAGCACGGCTACACTGTGGCCAGCTCCATCGCCAACCACATCTCCTCCACAACCGCACAAGATGACTCGCCGGTCCCAGAAGCTCATCCTGTGGACAGGATTGACCATATCACCATCGAGGAGCTGACAGCCATGGCCAACCTGGGCACGTCCAAATCTCTGGGCGGAACCCGGAAGCACTTAAGGCGGAGAGAAACAGTGAAGGCGGATGATAGTACTTCTACCGAGCCCAGGACAGTGGAGCTCACGGACGACGACTACTTCATTTGTCAGAGCCACACAATCGCCTTTGCCCTGGATCAGAAGGCATGGGTGCATGGCGTGAGGATTTCTCAACTCGAGGAGGTTCAATGGAGAGGTGACCCCTTCCAATCACTGCAGTTCTCTGACGAGGCCAAGAATCTCGTGGAGAGGTTGGTCAGGGGCTTCAATAACCGCAAGGGGGATGTCTACGATGACATCATCGAGGGGAAGGGTAAAGGACTCATATTCCTTCTTCACGGCCCCCCTGGCCTGGGAAAGACTCTCACAGCGGAGAGTGTCGCTGTGAGCGCGCATCGGCCGCTGTACCGAGTCACGACGGGAGAGCTCAGCACGGACGTCCAGGTGCTCGAGAAGCAGCTTACCGATATTTTCCGGCTAGGGGCGCGGTGGAGAGCTGTTGTCCTTCTCGATGAAGCAGATGTCCTCATGACAAAGCGGACGGTGCAAGACCTTCATCGCAATGCCATTGTTGCCGTGTTCCTACGCCTCCTCGAGTACTACCGTGGAATGTTATTTCTGACAACCAACCGCCGCGACGACTTTGACGAGGCTTTCCACAGCCGAATCCATGTCTCCCTTGAGTACGGCTTGCTCAATCCCGCGTGGCGAACCAACATCTGGCGTGAGCATGTCGAGCGAGCCAGCCAGCTCAACAAAATTCCTAATCTCTGGACCCAAGAGATATTTGCGGCATTGGGCAAACTCGAAACAAATGGCAGAGATATCAAGAACTTTGCGAGGACCGCCTACGCCTTCGCGCAGGCTGAGGACGAGGATTTGACACTCCAGCATGTGCTTGTTGTGCTGAAAAACAATCTCACAAAGGAGAGAAAGGACCAGCAAAAGTCCATATTTGAGGAGCTCAATGCCCTGGAAGCAAAGTTGAAAGCGGGCATGGCTAGGAGCGAGATTTCTTGAATCATTTTGGGCAGCGACCTTCTGCGGAGGAACAGGACGAGAAAGATGCGGCGCCAGTACTAACGACCGCTAAGTGCGTTCGATGATGTGTTTTTGGAAAGCACGGCATATTAACGTGAGAGGATCACAAGCACCGTCGCCAGAGCGGCTCTGGGCACTTCACAATCTGGGGCAGGAGGTCTGCGCCTTACCGGGAAGAAACGTTCACCATCTCTTCTTTAACTTACAACAGGGCATCGGGGGAGCTAGGAACAGGTCAGGCAGTTGCATTGAGAGCCGGTACTAGACTACTACGAATAAAATAGAACAAGGGTTTTAAAGGGAAGTTTGAAGTTTGACTAGCTGTTTAGATCTCGCTGAAAGAGGCGACGAAGACAGATGGGCAGATGTTTGGAGAAGGGTGAATGCAAAAGACACCAGACGACAAACGCGAAATAGGAACGACAGAAATAGCGAAACGGACGAAGAAGTTGCTACGACTGCTACGACTACGACGCTCTCGAGGTGCTCGAGTTGCTTCAGGGCTTGATTCGCACCCGACTCAGTCTCCAGCCTTCCCTGAATGCGAGTCAGTCCCCCGTGAGCTGTCTCCAAATCACCTCGCTGGAAGAGGATCAATCCGAGATTGTACAGACTGATGAGTGTACAACGGTGTTCCTCGCCCAACTCGCTGGAACCCAGCTCAACGGCTTTCGTCATCAAGTCAAGGGCCTCATTATCACGGAACCAAACGGTCGAGAACGGATGTTGTTGTTCCGTGAGGAACTCTAAGCTAGCTAGCGTACAGGATCCCACTAACTTATAAGTAATGGGATGTGGGTTGCACGATTCCCGCTTGTGGTGTTGAGCAGGGTAGGGTCAGTCGGACACCGCGCGAACCCGCTGCGAGTCCGCAGTACAACATCCATGCCGACCGAAGGTACTCCGATGACTAAGAATGTGCGCCCCTAAACCCAAAACGAACCAACCGGGGGTTTTGCAACAGTGTTCCCTATCACCCACCATAGCCACCGGCCACGCCATCGACCACAGGTCCTGTGCCCATGCGACATCACTACACACTAAAAGTACACACAGCACCGCCCCGACAGGGTGACGTCGGTTGGTCTTGCCTTGCAGCCCCTGGCGCCTCCCTAATAAGGTAGCTTACGACAGCATCTTACCTACCCCTCCAACGAACTGCAACAGCAAACAGCTAAAGCAACGCAGGAGTGACGATCAAGGACCACCGACCCGGTACTTGCGACGATGGTACAGAGTTATCTTAACCAGTCGGAGCTTCCTCCCTCTCCTTCAGTGTGACAGGTACTCGATCAGTACTTCGTATCTCGTCGAATCTGATGGAGGGTACCTGGGTCTCGGCCCTGACTCTCGGGGGGCCCAGGCAAAACGTATTCTTGATTCAACAACCACCCACACGGCCATACGAAGCACGGAGTACTCCATAAGTACTCCGTACTTTACCCTATCTTCCTGGTTGTCACCGTCAGGTACCAACAATCCTCAAGCCCGAAATCTTAATGCGAGGCTGAGCTTCAAAACGCTCAAACCTTCTTCACGACACAACGCAAACCAGGCAGACGTTTCCTCCAAGTGTGGCTTTTCACCCCGTCTTTCTCTTTCTCCATCTTCTTTTCTCTCTTTTCTCTCTTTTATCTCTCTTTCGTTTTCTTTATTCCTTCGCCTTGCTTCACAGTCCTTTCAGCCACCTTCAATCCCCGGTCCCTCGCTTGACCATTCATTCCCCCTTACATCGACGTTGCGTTACCTCTCACCATCGCTACCCCGTGCGACTCGAGTCTTGTCGGGCATATCAACAGTCCAGACTCGTCATTCTACGAACATTTCGTTCATAACTTTCGCTTCTGCCCCGTACAAAACAATACTATCGCTCCATATTGCTGGTTTGTCGACAACCGGAGAAGACGGCGGCTCGTTCACTCATCGTCAACGGACAACGACGGAAACACCTCACCCATCGGTACAAACACCTACCCGATTGACGCCGTGGCGCTTCAACGTACACAAAAGCAAACATTCCGACACCTCATTTAACCCAGCATCGTCCCCGTATCTTTCTCCTCAACCCCTCACATCAACTACAAACATCGAATATCAACCTGCTTCCTCCATCTACCGTCTCCGTCTCCGCCGCCACCATGACCCACGGCATCAAGGCTCGCTCGCTGAGCTCCCTCAATTTCCTTGCCGCCAATCCTCCGCAGTACCCTGTCAACCCGACCGAAGAAAAGCAGGAGCCCCTCATTCTCTACATTGCCCGTGTCCCTGGCGGTCAAGGTAAGTGAAGTCCATCTCCTCATTCCAGTATCTCGAGCCTCATCTCATGAGAAACCCTCTTTTAACCCCATCTCCAGATGTATTTCTTACCCCTTCGAAACCCCAGCTCAAGAATGTCACGTCGGAGGATGTCAATAACTCGTTCTACTACATTCACCTCGAGCAACCTGGCGAATCGCCCCTGCCATCTCCACCCTCCCGTGGTGCAGACACCCCCAGATCCAGCTTCGACGACAGCGGCCGCGTCGTTCCTGACCGGATTCCACGAAAACCTTTGCCGCCCGGGGCGAAGGTCATTCCGTCAGGGAGCACCACCACGACCATCGCCAGCCCGAAGGATGAAGTCTCTCCACCGCCAAAACCACCGCGGCACAGGGGGCAGCAGCTGCCGCATCAGGAGAACCAGGCAGAACCGTGGCATCGAGGGAACCATGAGCAACTGAAGGGGCAGCAGCAGCACGAGAAACAATACTTACACCCGCCTCACCCGAGACCCTGGAGTGCACAAGCCGAACCCCCGAGGCAGACGACGAGTGACGGACGTCCGAGACCCCAGAGCGCACAGTCACTCAGATGGTCAGGAGACGGGAAGAATTTCTACTCGGTCGAAGATCCTCCCGACCTCCCGACCAGTCCCAGATCACCTGGCAGGCCCCTTGGGCCACGACCCCCACCTACTCAGCGCATGTCGGCCTCGGATCATGACATCCTGCGATCAAGGGCACCACCTCTCCAACCACACGGCGAACCGAACGTTGAACCGTTCGTTAGCGCCTCTGCTCCGCGACGCCTACCGCCACGCCCCGCCGCTCGGTCTCGCCCTACGTCCCGTTCCCCGTCTCCCGTCCGGTTCCACAACTCCGTCGCCGTCCCTTACACCCTCCAACTCATCCGCCGCGACCTGGCCACAGGTCACCAATGGAACGTCGCCAGCATCACCTCGTCCCGGCTCGAGTCGTCCCTCGACGACGAGTACGAGTACACCGATTTCGACACGGCCGGCCTGGGCACCCAAGATCGCCGCCGCACAACGAGCGCCCCGCAGCCCGAAATCGACATCACCGTTCAGACGTCCGGGTATGCCAAGTTCAGGGGCATGCCAAGTCGTAAAGGGGCTGAAGCCGCGAAACTGTCTATCGTCGGTGGCGCCGGCTCGGGCGGAAGCCATGTCTCGCTCCCCCCTCCGGGTCCATCGGCATCCGGGGCAGACGAAGTGGGCAGCGTCCGCAGCGTCCGCAGCGGCCAGCCGGGATTCGGAACTGGGTTCTTTCATAGGCGGCTCGTCATGACCTATACAAAGACTTGGGCCGCCGGACTTCGCGAGAAGCTTTCCACGATCAACAGCACCGAAGACGGGGACAACCAGCAGCAGGCGGAGCAGGCGGAGCAGCCATGGCGCCGGGGACACGAGCGAAATGCTAGCAGCATCTCGGCGACGTCATACGAATCCGTGCAATCGCACGACGACCCGTCCACGAATGCAGACTCGGGAGGCAACAACATCATCACGGCACCGGGCCACGGCCTTCGCCCGAAGGGATACATGTTCACCTCCCCCTGGCACGGCACGTGTTGCTTCCGCACCGGCAACGGCGGCCGTAGCCTCAAGCTCCGCCACTCCCTCTCGGACTGCAATCCCACCTCGGCGCAACACGCCAGCAGCAGGGGTGCTACCGTGGACGTGAGCGAACTCCGGTTTAATCTGCCGGGGAGGGAGCTCTTCTCCTCGAAAACCAAGGACAAGGCGGGTCACCTTGGGCGTCTCATCCGCGGGGGCAGGAGCAGAGACGGTGATGACGATGAAGACGATGACGAGCCTTGGGATCCCACTAGCCTGGGTAGGGAGAAGGCTGGTGGAGGGAATCGCGGGAAGCGCGCCAAGCTTGGAAAGCTGATTATCTACCCCGAGGGCCTGAAGATGCTCGACTTGGTGGTGGCGGCAAATATGGGCGTGTGGTGGGGAGCCTGGGAAAGGAGTTTCTAGGCCGACCGGAGAGGGAAAACAAGACCAAGACCTGAACGTCATGACGAAGGCGCAAAGGCGTTGGCACATGAAGCGTTACCGTCGCATCCTACTTACACACCTTGGATAGAGGGTCCCTACTATTACGACCAACTTAGCATCGGCATCAGCACGCAAAATAGGACGTCATGTCTTAATAAATCAGAATGGCTATTCTCTACCCTTTTCATCTTGTCAACTGCAATCACACCGTTTCGCACGACCAAAATGCAATTCGAGGAACAAAGAAAAATAGCATGCCAAGAAGCTTGCCTTGATATGTACACAACTACACCGTCCACGTCCCCACCACCCGTATCAAGTTTCTTTTGCGTCTCGGATAGCTGTACATGGGCAGACAGGAAGGAGTTTTCTTTCATCCATCCTTCCACAAGTTCACGAAAACCATGCCTCGCTTCGGTTTCCTAACCCTACCCTCCCCTACCCTCACTACCCTCACTACCACAAATACGCCGGCGCCACACCCATCTTCCTTCTCCAACGGAACAAACAGTTGTCCCCCCACTCTTTACCGGTAAGGGGCATCAGCCCGAATCGTAGCAGCCAGCTCGGGCTCCCACTTGTCGCCGTTGGCGAGCAGCTTCTCCTTGTTGTACAGCAGCTCCTCGCGGGTCTCGGTGGCGTACTCGGCGTTGGGGGACTCGACGATGGCGTCGACGGGGCACGACTCCTGGCAGAAGCCGCAGTAGATGCACTTGGTCATGTCGATGTCGTAGCGCGTGGTGCGGCGGGAGCCGTCGGCGCGCTCCTCGGCCTCGATGGTGATGGCCTGGGCCGGGCACACGGCCTCGCAGAGCTTGCAGGCGATGCAGCGCTCTTCGCCCGAGGGGTAGCGCCGGAGGGCGTGTTCGCCGCGGAAGCGGGGGGAGATGGGGCCCTGACGTTTGATGTTAGTTGGGATTTGATTCGCCACCGTCGGCGTTCATTTTCATTTTCATTTTTCTTCTTTTCTTTCTTTGACCAGGGCACTGCAGGCCTCACCTTCTCAAAAGGATAGTAGATGGTATAAGGCGGCCGGAAGAACTGCTCCATCAGCAGGTACATGCCGCGGAACATCTCGGTCATGAGGAAGTATTTGCCCAGCTTGTCGAACGTGCCCTCCTTCTCCTCGTCCCACCGCAGGTACGGCTTCTGGCGGAACCCGGGCGGAGGCGGGCCGGCGGGCGTAGCGTAGCTTCGAGCCGGGACGGTTGTGGTTGCGGCGAGGAGTCGGTTCGCGAGGGCCGGGTTGGCCGCCGCGGCGCGGGCGAGGAGGAGGGTTCGGGTCGTCGCAGTGGCGAACATGGTCATTTGTCTGGTTGCGGGTGGTGCCATTGTCGAGACGGGGGGGGACGGCAAAAGGCACCCAATTGACACGACACGTCTGTCAACGGGAGGTTTTGAGGAGTGGGAGATTAGATTTGGTGGAGTGGCGGCCGAAGGGGGAGTTTTGACGAGACGGACTCGAGCTTGACGTTATGCGTTATGGCCGGGAGCTTTTCGGTGCGGGATTACAACTCCCGGGAATTGATTGGCTGAGAGGTCCACGTGACGTCTCCCGTGATGTCGCCTCAAGTGAAGTGACGGTAAGTCAGCTGACTTCTCACGTGCCCTCCCAGCTAGTGCGTATCCCGTCCCCCAGCACCTCGGACAACCAAACGAGAAATTTATCACCATCAACACCCCTTCCAGACCCAAGTCCATCATAGCTCCCAAAGCTCCGCCCCTTTCGCCGCTAACCAATTCAACCCACGTCAATTGGTTTTCTTCTCTCGCGAACCGACTTCCCTTTTCCATCCCCCGTTTGTCGCAGAAAGAAAGAAGGGAAAAAAACAAGCCACCATGTTCCGCTCCGCCGTCCTCCGCACCGCCAGCGCCGCCGCGCGTGTCGCCCGCCCTTCCGTCGCCCTTCGAGCCCCCCTGGCACGGCAACCCGTGCTCGCCGCGTCTGCGCCCCGTCTCGTCGCCGCCTGGAAGCCTCTCGGCGTCCGGATGTACTCTGCCGGCGGTGCCCTGACCAAGAACGAGGTTGAGACTAGGATCACTACCCTTCTGAACGGGTTTGATAAGGTCAACGACCCGAAGAACGTGCGTGCTCTCTCGCCCCCTGATTTCCATTCGTTACAACCCTTCGGGAACTCTCTTGCTAACGAATGGTGAATATCTACAGATCACCTCCTCCGCCCACTTCGCCAACGACCTCGGTCTCGACAGCCTTGACGCCGTCGAGGTCGTCATGGCCATCGAGGAGGAGTTCAGCATCGAGATCCCCGACAAGGACGCCGATACCATCCACTCGGGTACGTTTACCCATTCCATTTCTCCGTTCCTCTGGACCCTGTCTCGATCTACGACGTCTTTTTTCATGCGGATGATCACTAACAGCCCCAAAGTCAACCAGGCCGTCGAATACATCCTCAGCCAGCCCGATGCGCAGTAAGCGAGCCAAAGTTTTGCGGGAAGCAGGAGAGGGGGGACGAAGGAGACAAATGCGATGTATAATACCAATCTGCCTGCCTGCCTGATTTTTATTTGGTCAAAGGTTGACGGAACTATCACACCATTCATTCGCATAGATATCAGGGATGAAAAAGAGAAGACTTGGCGGAAGGCATTGGTGCTGCGAATGGCGGCGGCTCGAGTAGCACGAGCTTTTCTCCGTCTGTTTATCATCCGTCTTGAAAGGAGAAGATGGAAGTTGCGCGGATGTGCCACATGTGGTCGGGGACAAGCTGGTTCAACCACGGGGCGTGGCCATCTGGCAACGCAGATGCGCACAAGCAACGGTTCACCTCCTCGAAGAGAGCATAACGCGAGGAGGGGGGCGGGGGCTTGCTGTGCCTTGTATTAGTGTATAGAGATTGTTTCTTGTCGCAGTCGCCGTCGCCGTCGCAGTGACTGGCTCCTTGTTCTTTGTTCTTCTCACCCTGCCTGTGTATTCCGATCGCTCTGGGTCTTATCTCGGATTCGATCCGGAAGAGACGACTACAAATCTCTCGCGAAATGCTCATCTCACAGTGACTGCGTGGTCCGGTCCAAATGCCCCAACCCAACTTCCAGGCAGCATGTACGAATACAGGGAGTTCTCGCGAGTAAGCATAAACCACCTTCATATTTCCAGACCGGAGACCCATATACATATACAGTTCGACGACCTTGGTCAATCCGAAGCTGGCGTTCCATAAAGACACGCAATCCGCTCGGAGCCATCCATCCGCAAACGCAACCCTTCCCAAAGAAATACAACCCCGCCGACCAGATTTCCCCAGAGCAGCCAAAAAGCAAAAGCAAAGCGCGGAAGTCGAATAAATAGGACCCTCAAGGCTCGTAAGAAAGTCTGCCCTGGGGGATACCGGCATCCCAGCTCGGGACTCACAACAGCATTATGGCGGTGGCATTCCCTCGCGTCTCCCTTGCCTATATGCCTATCTGAAAGATTCATCGTTGGGAAGAGGCAGAGACTATGGGAAGAGAAGGGAAAATAAAAAGTAAACTTGAAATTGAAATTGAAAACAAACCCAGAAGAATCCGGGCGAATGAAATTCAACTCCCCGCGACTCCATATGCGGTGCGTATATAGCGACGAACCCCCCCGTCCCAGCCAACACCCAATGTGTAAAAGATTTCCGGTCCTGTGGACATTTGTTTCCATGTACCTCAAAGTAGTTCTTCGTTGTGGGGGGTTTTTTTTAATGACCGTTCCGTCTCAGAGCTGTAAATTTTTCCATGTCTTCCCGCTTTGTGTTGAAGAAAAAAGGGGAGAAAGTTGTCTCTCGCCTCTGACGCCGGGAGGAGAAAATCCCCCCAAAAAATAAAAATAAAAAGAAAGGGAAATTTGAACGATAAGTTATCAAGATGTCATTGCAAGTCGTGTTAACCATCATGGGGGATTCGTAGACGCCTTGATGATTTGGTCGTGCAGCTCATGCCTTGTCGGTGAACCGGGGAGCCGGGGGTGGAAGAGTCAAAGAAACTCCCTACCAATCCCCCCGACCGTATGTACCATCGCTATGCTTTTCGTCGTATCAGAAAAGAAAAGAGGGGTTTTTTTTTCTTCTTCTCTCTTCGTCTGCCTCGGCTCATTACCATCATCGTCCGCCCACGGTCTCCACAGTCACTGAAGGCTCGCGGGACTCCTTGGCGAGGCCGGACCCGGACGTTGATGTCGTTTTACCGGACAGGACACCTGCATAGCTCCATCCTGTCCCGGCCACACCGAGGCCGGACGAGGCTCGCTTTCTTTGTCTGGCCGACTGCTGCTCATCGCCATCTTCCTCCATGCTGAACACAAAGGCGGGATCCTCCTCGTCGACAGGAGTAGTAAAACGTCCCGAGGAGCCGATGGAACCGCTCGACACGTGTCGCTCCATGGCTCTCTCGCGTTCCCTGCCGACAGGGCCGATGGCACCGTTCCCGGGCGTGCGACCCACGGCCATCATGGGGTGGAGCCGCGGGCTGTTGTTATTGAGGCTGTCGTCCCCGAGCAGGCGGGTTCGTTGCAGCTGCTGGGTGAGAGCCGAGGCGGAATCGCTGCCCGACCGGCTGCCGGGGGTCGTCCGGCTGGAGATGCTGCCGACGCCAACAAGGCCACTGCTGCCGTTGCCCATTCCGTTGGAGAGGACCGAGTTGCGCAGCGGGCTGCCGACGTGGCCGAAGGCCGAAGGGGCGCGCTTGTTGGTGGTGCGACCGGCGTCGAGTTCTTCCTCCTTCTGGCGCTGGAACAGGGGTCCCCACCGGCTGGGGCTCGCGCCGGCCATGGGGCTGCCGAACTTGACGGCGTTCTCGCCTCCGAACTCGGCATCGGCGGCGCGCAGTGACCCCCTTCGTGCTTTCTCGGCCGGGGTCAGGAGGTCCTGTAGGTTCTGGGGCAGGTAGTCCTCCTCGTAGAAGGCGAACTCGGCGTCCCAGTCACGGTCCACCGTCGGCTTCGGGAGGCTGGAGCTCATCATCTTAGGTCTAGCATAGCGGCTCGAGTGCATGGGTCGGCGGCCAAAGTACTCCTCGCCCAGGCCCACGGGCGCACTAGGCGGGCTGGTGCCGGCGGCGGCACTGGAGGTGGAGAGATATTCGCTGCCGCCAAAGGCCGAGTTATGGAGGCTCTTGAGGGTGTCGGAGGTACGGGTATCTTTCGCACTGCTGAGTGAAGGGGAGGGCGAGTCGATGCCAAACTTGGAGGGCACGGACGAGGGCCAGGGCGCGGCGGGATATCGGGCGGCGTTGGAGATGCCTTGGGAGTCGAAGGAAGCCGGTAGCGGCGCATCGAGCACGGAGAGAGTCTTGCCGTTGCCGTTGCCGTTGCCGTTGACGGGCGAAAGGGCGAGGAGGCCCAGCCTCGAAGGATCATCGTCACGCGGGGAGCCGTAGGTCGAGCCGGCAAGAGAGTAGGCGGCGGCGTCAGCAGAGGGGAGGCCGTTCTCCAGGCTCGGCTGGCGCCCGAGCTGGTGAGGCTGGCGATTCTCGGGGTAGGGGTATGTCGGGGTATAGGGAGGTACACCATCGTGGTAAAGACCCGAGGTCAAGGCGCTTGTGGTGGTGGTGGTGGTGGTGGTGGCGGCGTGGTTATAGGCGGTGGTAGTTGGTGCTGTCGGGTTGGTTCGACCAGCGAGGCCGATGGGAACAGCGCCGATGGTGACGCCATTCTTTCCGTAGTTTATACGCCGACCATCGGGGAGTACGTGAATGTTGGCACACTTGGGACCGAATTTGCAGTTGCCCTATGTGATGGGAGAGGGAAAATGGTCAGCTCGGGGATTTTCGGCGATAACGGCAATTGGAGTGAGAGGTGGGAGGTGGGAGGTGGGAAGTGGTCTGTGTAACCGAGGGGCAATGCAATGTGGGCGGGCCGTTGATTTGGAATGGGAAGGAGGCTGGATCATCCCGATGATCCCCCCCCCGCGGTGCTTCTTTGCATTGCGATCCAAGACCTAGGACCTGAGACCCGAGACAGGGAGGCGGTAGAATAGAAGGCAGATCGAGACAATGAAGCGGGAGGCGGGAACGTACCTTGGCGAAATACTTGCAGACCGTCTCAGCGGAAGCACCGAGATCGTGGCTAAAGGGACAGGCATTCCCGGCCTGACAGGCACCCTGACGATAGAATTTGCAGGGGACGTGAGAAGTATCTGGAGGAGGAGAAGAAGAAGAAGAAGATCAGATTAGCACAGAAGAAGCAGGCAGAGGTGACGAGAGGGAGTCGAGGGGCATGGCACGTCATCGCATGTGGCACGTTGCACCTTTGCACGTTGCAGCTTGCACGCGATGGGAGAAGGCACGACAGGAGTAGATCGGCAGAATAGGAAAAACGGGGACAGGGAAGAGGGAAGAAAAAGAATATATATGAAGAAAAAGAAGAAAAAACAAGGACCGGGTGGAGTGACGTACTCGGTGGGCTTCTCGGGCCCTCGAATCTCTGTGTGGAAGGCGGTAACGGTCCCATTACGGGTGGCGCATGTCCATTTGGCGAAGCAATGCTGAGGCTGCCCGAGCGCATATGGCGATACTCGGTCGAAGGCATGATGGAGGAGGAGAGAAGAAGAAGAGAAGGGACGAAGGGAGAGTGTGAGAGACAGAGAGAGGGAATTGGGAGGGGAGAAGAGGGGAGGGAAGGGTGGGAAGAGACGGGGAAACAGGAGCTGAGGTCGAAGGAACCGGTGTGTGATGCGTGTTGTAGTATGTGGTGTGTGGTGCGTGGTGTGTGGTGTCTGGTGTGTGGTGTCTGGTGTGTGTATGTATGGAGGCAAGTTCAAGGGCCGGGTCGGTCGTACAGGTGAGAAGAGGATGATTGGGAATTGGTGGACGATTACGGGATAAGGTGGGGGGAGGTCCAAAGCGAGGCGGGGGATACAATTGTGTGAATGAAGTGTACAAGAAGATGTAGGATCATGTGTATTATGGGGTGGGTCAATGATGGTGTCAATAGAGGGAGTTTGGTGAATGGTCTTAATAATAAAAGACCAATAGACAACTCCCGATGTACCAGGCGCCGAGGCAGAGGTATCGTGGGTGTCCGTACGGAGTGTCCGTAGGTTCGTACTGTACTCCGTACCGCAAGGCAGGTAATTACCTCGCGTGGGAGTGGTAATGGTAGTGGTAGTGGTAGTGGTAGTGGTAATGGTAATGGAAAGGTAGTCGGTAGCCGTAGCGGTGGTAGTGGTAGTGGTACTGGTACTGGCAGTGGTGGTACTGTCCCTTCCTTGACACCCGCAGCGTCGGGCCCAACGTAGCAGGAGCGGGGAAATACTTGAAGAGCACTCGCAGATTGAGTCGGTTCTGGTTGAAAAGCCCAGCAAGCACGGAGTACCTTTCTTTTCCCCTTGTGCTCTGTCGGAATAGCGGCAAGCGACGGTTCTGTACCTATCAACAGGCACTGGGTTCCTTTGCGAGTCAGATTCTCTATGTCCCTTTTTCTTCTTCTTTTTTTCTTCTTTTTTCTTCTTTTTTCTTCTTCTTCAGCCACTAACGACAGCCGTTTGACGGTTGATAGCGGACAGAGAGCTGTGGGGGAAACCCGGTTGACCGTTGATTGTGGTGGTGTGCTTCGTACTTCGCAAGTCTGCTTATGGATTGATCTGGCTTGGCTGGCGCAAGGCGCTCGATGCGGGCGACCTACTGTCGATGTCGACGAATTGCGCAACAATTCGAACAAGCCACCGCCGTTTTTCTTCGCACAAAGCCCCGTCCTAGGTTGCAAGGCGGGAGGGATCGGGAAAAACGGGCCAGTCCGTTCAAAGTTGCCCTTGTGGATAGTCGTAACAGGCACGTTCCCCAGTGTTCAATATTCGGTCAAATATTCGGGGGACGAATCGGGTAGGCTCAACGACGGGTGCATACAGCGTCCTGCGTTCCCTCTTTCGGTAGCGATGGAATGAGCAGTGGGGGGGGGGGGGGAAGGTGATCGAATTCGACGGGACTGCGCCGTGTTTGATCTACGCTGCAGACCAGACTGTGCAGACCAGACGTATTGTCGTCCAGTGTGGGAGGACAGAGTGCAGATGTAATTCAATGTAGTATTCCGGTGAGTGGAAGCCGTGTGTCTTTAATAGGTCCGCTTCTGCTTTCGGGTGCCATTAATAATGCAATTCTCCTTGGCAGAGGTTAGAAGTTAGAACCTTGGACTCAATAGTTAGACTTCTTTATGTATGCTCTCGTGTAAGACACGTGCATCTTGGACGAGGCGGAGGGTGAACTCAGAACTGGAACAAGAGAAAGTGGGAATTCAGACATGTAGAATATTCCGTGGTCGACTCACCGACAGCGCAAGTCGAGAAGCTTCCTCGCCGAGGAAGGCAGGAAGGCCAACCGCCGATGAGGTCGATGACTGGTCCTCCATCTTCTTGTCAGCCCGGCCCGACAACGAGGCCACGATAGGGCTTAGCTTTGTGGGCGGGGTAATTACCTACCTTGACGATTGTCGCAAAAGCGAAGTGAGTCCAACCTGGGCAATCTCGGGCGGAGGCGGAGGCGGATGACAGACGGGGGGGGGACGACTGGATGCGAACCAGGGGTTGGGTGGGCGCCTGCACTCACGGTCTCCCGTTGGCCTTTACCGACTGCCTGGTAAGCCGGTTTAGATGTTGACGGTTTGCCTTGTAGGCAACCAGAGTCCTAGAGAATGCAACAAGTCAAAAAAGGGTTGCCGAAATCAACGAGTGAATGCAAAATGAGAAGAAATAAAACGCGGTGGAGGAGGAACAGGGATGAAAATGATATACCAGACCCTGGGCGATGGGCGTCTTAAAAACAGAAGCGTACGTCTTACGTCTTGGGTCTCCGTCCCTCTCCAGTCTCCCTCCCCGAGTCCCTGGTGACTACTCCAGGTAGTCGTACTTTTTCACCTCTCCACCTCTCCGCCTCTCAATATCACTATTCTTCATGTTCATCGCATATTCCGCACCATCCTCCCGAAATCTGGGCCCGACAGAAAGAGAGAGTCGTCGTCCTTCAGTGAACCGTGAGACCTACGCCGTAGTGATAGCACTGTCCATCCCTACTAGGCTACTCCACATACACGATACGCCCTCTCACGCCTGTTCTACAAGAGCCTCGTAGTACTGTCAACACGACACAGGCTGACTATCTTCCCCCCAGGAATGGGCGGGCGCATGGTATTTCGGACATTCCCATCCTGAATCCTGTTTGATCATACGCCCCCTCCCCTCCGCTTCCCACAATATCCACACCCGTTCGACCTGCATGGCCTGGCCCCTCCTTGCTCTAGCTTTGGACACCCTCGGCAGAGGGCAACGACGCGACTGGTCGATCACGCTGATGGCCCTCGACTTCCGACTCGTCCTCGACTGTTTCTGGAGTGTGGGTATCACTGTCGTAAGGACTCATCGACACTACAAGGTGGGCAGACAGGGAAGTAAAACAGAGCGACAGAGGGCAGAAACGGACAGGGAAGAGAGAGAGCGCTGCCTGCAAGGCCCCAGAGGACCTCCCAAACCTCCCCAGACCTCATACACTTGAGGCAGCCTCGTCAGAGGGGGGTGGGGGGATGGCTGAGACAACGACCATGAACGGGGCGTGTGGGTGGTTTTGCCCTTGGCATGTCCAGCTTCCCAACTCGTCGGTCTATCACGAGGCCAAATGGCCTGGCCTAAGGCGGCCTCAATGCTACAGCCGTGCAGGCGCAAGAAAAAGGAGAAGCAGAAGAAGGGTGGGGGGCAGGGGTCTGGTTAACTCTAGGTCGTCCTTCGTCCTCGTTCATGGCCTCTGAGCAGTGAGAAAGAACCCTTCCAGATCGACGACGACGCGGTGATCGCCCTTTGAGAGCAGTTCGCAGCAGCGACGTCGAAGCCCGGGTGGGGTTAGCCGTGGCCAAGGAAAAAGAGAAGGGGGTCGCGTAGATGTATCCCTTGGCCGTAATCGTCGAGTTCTCGATGGTGGCACTATGCAGTCAGCCGGTTTGAGGAAAGCCCCGTGCCACGACCTGTCGCCTGTTGTAAACTTGTGATATTTCAGTCGACTCATCCACGGCCCCGGGCCTTTGACTTTGTACGTAAATGAAAAGAATAAAAATAAAATAAAATAAAAAATAAAAAAATATAAATACAAAAGCGAATAATAAGCAGGACTTCATACGACGTATGGTAGATCATGTGATGATGCAAAGTCCTGCCATCCCCGCAAAGTGCAGTGAGTGCAGTGAGTGCAGTGAGTGCAGTGAGTGCAGTGAGTGCAGTGAGTGCAGTGAGTGCAGTGAGTGCAGTGAGTGCAGTGAGTGCAGTGAGTGCAGTGAGTGCAGTGAGATGTGATGTGACCAGATTCTGTGCGATCCGTTTTTCCGCCGATTCGGATCGCAGGAACATCTGGTGTACATATGCTGCGTAATCAACACGAGTCTAGGTACCCAGTGTATATTGTTATCAATATACACTGTTTTACTGTGGCTAGGTATCATTGAGATACGACAGGTACCTCGGTACTCTCCGTCGCGCCCCCGCACCTTCAACATCACAGACCAAGACCACAGACAGCTTCACCTGAGCTTCACCTCTGCTCCATCCGCATCGATTCCAACATAAGCAGACTTCTTTCAGCTCCCAACAACCAACAGCCCACGGCTCAACTCTCTGTTTCCATACTAACCCGCCGCTTCCCGTGCCTGAACTCTTCGAGACGCGCATTCTGTCTCACGCGGGATGGATACTTGACTCTACACTATTTTCTGCCCTGTCACGTCTCTCGAATGCCTTGGATTCGACAGCATCAACAAACCACGTGCATGAACCGGCGCGACCAACGAGACCGGGGACGGTCATCGTCATAGGTCTCACCTGTGCGATCCAGACTCCCCCTCTCTGGTACCCCTCTGCGCCTCGACCCCCACGCGATTCGACTCACCCTTGCCTCTTCCGAGGTCTCTTCTCTTCTCTCCGACGCTGTCCTCTTCTCTGCCCACCCCCCCCTCCAAAAGACCTTCGATGCGAAGGGTCGAAAGAGGAACTCACCAGATCGAGCCTCGGCGCAGACGACACCCGCGTTTAGCCCGCGAAAATCAAGGTCCGTGTCCTGTGAGGCTGTGTGTCGTCGGCCGAAAAGACGTAATCCGTACAGCGAACAGTCGCTTCACTGACCGTCCCAGTCTATCATCCTTGACCTATCGCTACTTACAAACTTGAATCCAGCCCGGCCCTTATTATGAATGGAACAAATGACAACTGAAATGGCGGAAAACCTGGAACGAACCTACGAGTAGACCGCTCCTTGAGCAACCCCGACGCCCTCTTCTTCACCTCTTCCTGACTACAGGTACAATCAGGAAATTCCTCTCGGCTTACTGCGGCAACTTGCTTTCTCTGGCAAGCCGCAGCCTTACTACGCCAGCCAGGCACGTCGACTCGGCACGATTCACAAATCCTTCTGCTGAAATGGTGCAACCGGGGGATGCCTTGGACGACGCGATTCATCACTTTATACCCTTTGCTTGACCTTCCAAACTTCCAGTCGTCTTTTCACGCCAATCTGTGTTACTTGCCTATTTCTTCCCCTCTATCTACCCTGAAGATTCTTGTACGACCCTTCCGCATGCCCTTTGCACTGACTTGTCTCCTTTTCCCGCAGCCATGAGTCTGTCGCCTCTTACGGGATGGCCCCTTTGGCTGCCCGGGAGAGCTCCGATGATGCAGGCCGTCTATCCAGTCTGCTCCGCTTAGCCTTGCAGCGTGTTACGCCTTTTCTTACGCCTTTACCTCTTCTCGGTTACACCTAAGGACCAAGCGGCCCCCTCCCCCTTCTACCGGAACTCGCCATGGCTTCAGCCGGCTCTATTTACTGACGAGACCCTCATCGGTATCGAGGCGTTTTCCTTGTGCTACCCGCATTCCAGCTCTCCCCTTTTCTCTAGTCATTCCTCGCTTGCACATCGCCGCTTTGGGACGACCCCTCGTCCGGCTTTTCCGCCTCGTCGTCGTGTCATGTCGTGCAGTCGTCGACTCAACACGGCATATCTCGTACCCCTTCAGCCGCGGGGAGAAACCAACTGGGCCCAAGGCGCAGCGGGAAAAGCCGGCAGTCCGTCCTTTTTTTTTCTTGTTTTTTTCTCTGTTTCTCTTCGAACCTCACTGCTGGACTAACCTGAAATACGTACATCAGCGTCTCACCAAGGCAACGACTTGGCATCAGCCTTCTATCACCGGCGACCCATTGCCCACCTCCGCTGATATACCTTCACCTGGTTATTACTGACTCTCTGTGTCTGTTTCGTCCCGCTCATCAGAGACGTTGCGGTCTTGAAGAGAACGAGCCTCGCAGCAGTCAATGATCTGCGCTCGGAAACGAACCGCCCAAGATGATCCGCCCCTACGCATACGGATAGATGGTCCTGCCTTGATTCATTCCCCCCAATCCGCTGCTTCTGCACCCACCCCTCCCGCTTCATCCCTGTTCTCCGCCCTCCATCACGACCCCTCCCACCTTGACCATCCGCCCGCCAAGCCGTCAGGCCGGACGACTACATCGTACTAGATCCCAGTTGCCTACTCTATACTCTCTCTCACCCACTCACACACACTCACACATACATACATCCTCTCTCCTATTTTCCATATGGATCAGTCAGCCTCTCACGCTGCTACTACCTCAAACCTATCCCTCCGTGCCCCGCAACCCTGCAGTACATCTCACGCCTTGATGGGTCCTCGGTCCATCTAATGCACCTCCAGCAGCAGTTCGCAGCTTGTCGTTTGCAGTGTCTCCGGCGGGAACTCGATCCTACATGGTCATGCGATGCATTCAATATCTCCGTACTGCGAATTCGAGTGCTGGAGATCCGTTGAGGTGCCCCTTAATTTTTTTTCCCCTCGCATCATTCTATTCCTCTGTCATCCTCTTTGACTCTTTCTACACGTTCGGTCCGGAGAGCGCGCCAAATGCCATTTGGATACGTCTGCCGCTAGACCTCGTATTTCTCCTGACTACCCTCCCCCACCCGACTTCTATATCTCCTCTCTCCCACCCCCGCATGACCAGCTCTCCTACCCTGGACGGGGGTTTCCTTGCAACTAGCCACACCCCTCACTTTTCCCTGTTCCCCGCTGTCATCGGGGCCAGGAGCCCATACCCCGTGCTTGGCCATGGAGAGGCGTGCGCTTGCGCCACATCGACTCATGGTGTCCTCTGGCTAACCCGATAAGTAGTAGTGAGCCAAGGACATATTATGGGGATATGATATTCTTAGCACGTCGCTTCGCTTGGAGATCCCATGATACCAGACATTCCCCCCCGACCCTGGCCAACGCGTCCCCATCTTGGCCTTATTCCTTGGAAGGCGATCCCTTTGGCTGCACATCTGAGGAGGAAAATATTGCGGTGGAAAGAAGAGAGACGTGCGAGAAGAAGAAGAAGAAGAAGAAGAAGAAGAAGAAGAAGAAGAAGAAGAAGAAGAAGAAGAAGAAGAAGAAGAAGAAGAAGAAGAAGAAGAAGAAGAAGAAGAAGAAGAAGAAGAAGAAGAGAAAAACCAAGATAACAACCGGCAGCCTCGGGATGCTCGAATCAACCAGACCCGTCCAAATGCCGAGGATCCGATGCAATCAAGGCCCATGACCCTGGTCTGCATACGTCTTCCCATCAACGGCAAAACGGGTGACTGTGTGTCTATGGTTGTATTGACGGGACGTTGAAACTTGATGGGGGCCGGCACTTGTCCACGACTTTGCATATGGTCGTATACATACATGTACGTTTTTCGTCGGCAATATCTTGCCTGATCTTCACAACCCGTGACAGGGAGGAGGGGGGGCGCGGGAGTACGACGTCGTGTTTTCTCGGTCCATCTTCACTCTTTTGGGACGATGGGCATGAAGAACGACCGTCGTCGACGTGACACACACCGGCGTAGACGAGAAAGGGAAAACCCGCCATCCATCGCAGTGAGGAAGCCACGAGCAGTTTCAGTTGGGGATGTCATGGTCGTACGGTAACGAGATCGTGATCCCCGTTCTTCACCAGCTCTGAGCCTCTGCCTCCCTCCCTGAGGCCTCGGCTTCGCGTCGTCCACTCTCGCGTCACATCATAATGACATCAGAAAACGCGACGCGAACCCCGTGCCCGAACGCGTCAGCTGCGCACCTTCGGGTAGGGTAAGGTAAGTGAAGAGAATAGAAGGGGTCAGCCCGGCCGTCCTGCGGTGGGTGGTCTGGCGGAGTCTAGTCTAGGACCGTGACAACGCGTGCCGTCCCAGTTCGGGTGAAAAGTTTAGATCCTGACCCTTGGGCCCCCTCGCCCCTGCGGAACTCATACGGACATCGAGACGGCTGAAAAGTTGGATGGCTATGTTATGATGGCGCCGGGTTTCTATTCCTAGTTCCCATTCCCAGGTCGCCGGATTCCCATGGTCCATGACACTGGGGACTAAATGGGCTGGCTGGCTGAGAGAGAGAGAGAGAGAGAGAGGGAGAAAAGAGAGAGAAAAGAGAGCGGGACGCGACGGCGCGTTTTGCTTTGCCGGGACTATGGTGGGTTGGGTGTGCTGACTTGCCATGTGACCCCCCTGGTGGCATGGGCTGGCCGAACTATTGTAAGGGCAAGTGGGTGTGTGTGGATGTCTCACTTTGTGGGAGAAAAGGGGGTTGGATGGTGTACGCAGGGGTGGTGTGGAGGGGAAAAGGAGGGGGGCCGCCAATGCCAGAGTGTTCGTATTCGCAATCTGATAACTATTTCTAAACAACATCCTTTCGCCTTTCTTGTCTAGTTCCAAGCTTGCCCGGCTCGGATGGCCCGTTTGTCGTTTCGAACGGCCGGGGGAGAGGACATCGAGTCAGAGGACGTCTGATCGACGAGACGGACTATGGGTAGATCATAGGCCTGCCCAGGCGCCCAGCCGGATTGAAGACTCCTGAGATTTGCCATAACATTGTCATGTGCTCAGTGGTGCCTAGGAAGAAGCACAGGGGCTTTATGGGAGAGAGTGGATGAATGTTTGAGGCTGGGGCATTGGGAGGATGGGACGATTTCGCTATGGGAGTTTGTAGGACGCCAAGAAATTTCGGAAGCGTTCCTGTTGAGGGCACAAAGACGAAGACCTGGGGTGAAGATAGCAAGACGCACGACCAAGGCGTCAAAGTTGGTCATCTGGGTCAGCTTGATGGATGGTAAATGTAAATGTCCTACCCTTACACGCGGGCGAGGGCTGTGAGGCCTCTGAACAGAAATAACAAAGTATCCGCTTCTCCTACGAGGGAGTAAAACTAAACTGTGCTTCCGCAGCAAACTGGTCAGGTCTTCGAGGAGGCCTCCAGAATGAGAGGGAGCTATTCACGTGGCTAGGGAATTCTGCATGTGGTGTCATGAATCATTACTTCTGGACGAAATCGGCCTGTATTTGGCGCTTCTCTAGATGCACCGTGTTCTGTGAGAGGACGAAGAAACTAACAATGACTTGCTCTTACAAGACGCAACTTGAAACTGGGACCCGAAGCTACGTAGGTGTGAAAAAAGGGGTATGTACTGCTCTCAAGTCTCAACTCGTGTATCGTCTCCTTGAAGCCATGATATTTGTCTCCTGTTGGCGATACACTTTGCAAGCTTCCAAACACAGGTGGCTGTTCCACGACGTCTGGTGCCGTTACTTGCTCATCTTCCAGGCTCGTCCAAATTTGCAGAAAACCCCCAGTTTTGTCAGTTGAAAGGGCTTGTAACAACCGACCTATTAGTTACTCTCGGAAACAACAGACTAAGACTAGAAACAACAGACTTCCAGCGTCCTCCACCTGGGGGAGTTTGTTTTATGGGATCGAGTTGGTACCAAATGTAAGGAGTCTTCGTCCAGAACAGTCGAGTTTGAGTTGAGAAGAGCATACCTGTATCAAGTCAATTCTATCAAAGTAAGACTTCGTGCCTATAAAGTCTCCCGATGTCGCACGGCTATCTATGGCTTTGAATATCGTCTTACGGTCTTAATGATATAACAACCCTTAGAGGCGAGAATGCGACGAGATATCAGGCAAGACAGGCAAGTAAAGCAGAACTGCAAGTACCATTATCACTATAAACCGGAGTAGCACGAGAATCATCCCCATTGGAGTTTGGAACAAGTTTGAGGTGAGTTTCACAAAGGGAAGCCGAAGCACTGAGCAGCGTTGTAGACTCAGAGTATTGCTACATTGTATTGGCTCGATTGGACGCAACTGACATGTTGAAATAAGCTGAAGATTATATCGCGACTTCTGTTTGAACTTTGAACGCCGGTCTATAGCATATGTCGCCCTTCTACGGAGTGGAATTAATTGCCTTTCACGGGTCGGGCCGATCGCCGACGACGGATACGGCCCGGGACGGACTCGGGCCGGTCACAGTACATCTGTACTGCCAGGCGTGAGCGAGGGTCGTACCTTTGTATCCATATTATACATACCTACGGGGAACAGATACATCATACAGACCCCTGGTGCATGAAATGTACGAGTAATCACTCGTAGCTGGGTCCAGACGGGCTTGTCGACTCTCCTCGACTGTTCCACAGACTGTAATTGGTCTAGATGCCTGTCGCGGGGTTGAAAGACTGTCTTACGGACATGTGGGAGGCCAACGCCAACCACCCAGAATATGTCCCATGCCATCTCCAAGATGAACCGTCGTCAGTGATTTAAACCAAATGCTCTCCTCTCGCCTTTCATCTCAAAGACTGACGTTCGACACTCATGATACATGATACAGGCTCCAGTTACGCTTACACCATGCTCCCCAAAAATGTCATCGAGGAGATCCAGACCGACCGCGATCAGTCCATCAACATCTCGCAAGATCAACACGAACACCATGAAGATGAACAACATGAAGAAATTGAAGCGTCTTCCGCCCACACTCTGAAATCGGCCTTCCACCGCACCACCTTCCCCGGCGCCCTCCTCTTCAACCTCGCCTCCTTCATCCTCCCGGCCCTATACAGCACCCTCTCCAAATTCTGGGTTGCCCAAATCGACGCCTCCCTCGTCGTCACCACCGACGTCTACACCTACATCGGCATCATCGTCGAAGTCCTCAACGAAGGCCTGCCGCGCGCCTCGTGGGTCATCATCGGCGACAAGGCCTCCCGGACCCTCGCCCAGCGGCTACAACTAACCCACACCTTGATCCTGACCCAGGCGGCGCTGGGCCTCGTCATGAGCGTCGCCTTTGTCTCGGGCGCGTCGTCGTTCGCCGATGCCTTCGTCCCCGTCGAGGTGCGCGACGTGAGCGTCAGCTACGTGCGCATCAGCGCGTTCAGCGCCCTGGGGAGTGCGGTCGAGACGGCGACGGCGAATGCCACCAGGGCGTTGGATAAGCCGGACGTGCCGTTGATGATCAGCTCGGCCAAGTTTGCGGTGAATATCATCCTGGATCTTCTTCTCATCTCGACTGTCCGTGTGGGGGGACATGAGCCGACAGTGAACCTCCAGGCGGGGATCCAGCTTGCCTGTAATCTGACGGCTGCGTCGGTCGGACTGGTCTATTTTCTCTGGCGCAACACCTTCACATTCAAGACCAAGCTCGCCCATGCAAGTCTTGCACAAGAAAGCGGAACACAACCACAGTCGCAACCGCAAATACACGACGAGCCTACCCGACCGAGCATCGCTGCCCTCCTCGTACTCATCCGCCCCGGCATCATCACCTTCACCGAATCCGCCATCCGCAACGCCCTCTACCTCTGGCTCGTCACCACCATCGTAGCCATGGGCTCCACCTACGCCACCGCCTGGGGCATCTTCAATACCATCCGCTGGGGCCTCGTCATGGTGCCCGTCCTGGCCCTGGAACAAACCTCCCTCGCCTTCACGGGCCACAAATGGGGCGCGTTCCGCCGCTCCATCGGCATCACCAACCTGCGGCCCCGCGGCGCCGACCCCCGCGCCACCATCCTCCCCATCATGCGCCCCGCGCTCGTCAGCGCATCGCTCGCCCTGGCCGTCGAGGTCCCCGTCTGCCTCTTCCTGACCTTCTTCGCCGCGCGCCCTTTCGCGAGGTATCTGGGCGGGTCGGACGAGGTCGCGGACTTGACGGCCATGATGTGGCGGTCGATCGACTGGTGTTACATCTTCTACGCCGTGTCGACGCAGTTGGCGACCGTATTGCTGGCGACGAGGCCGCGGTGGTACCTCTGGCAGAGCTTGGCGAGTAATTTGCTGTACGTGCTGCCCTGGGCGGTCGTGTGTCAGACGGCGCGGCTGGATCCGGGGCGGGCTTGGACGTACCATTCGTTCGTGTTTGGGGGGAGTTTGGTGTTTAGTTTCGGGGCCGTCTTGGTCGTTTGTGGGCTGTGGGTTTGGACTTTGATGAAGGGGAGGATGAGGCTGGAGGTATTTCGAAGTTGATCTCTATAGTCCATACCTGACCCTGGAGGAAGAATATGCATGTGGGCACCGAAGCAAAGATTCATGTTCATCCTGCGTTGGCACTCCATCGCTCCAGTGTCTCCAAACCACAAGTCACCGAGAGGACGGCGCGGGCGAATTCGTCCAGGTCAGCTGGGTTGAACCCAGTCAGCAAGAGATTCTCATCGGCGACCTGGACGATGCTCATGTTCCCCTTTTTCTCCCTGAGCTTGGCGAGCCACGTGTAAGCAGACGGCGCATCCCATAGACCGTCGGCCCCGCTGACGGGGAGGCTTCCGAAACACTCGGTCCAGCCCTGCTTCATGATCCGGTAGGTCGTGACGATGAGCAAGGCGGTCGTGTACACCCTGCGGACCGACTCGGCAAAGATCCACGCCTGCCAGACGTGCTCAACGTCGGCGGTGGCGGCGGTGGCGGTGGTGATGGTCCCTTCGCCGAGGTACGGGACAGCCCAGTCAATCTGGCAAGCGACATCCAAGGAGGCGCTCTCGCGCAACTGATACGCCCAAGCAATGAGGAGATCAAGCCTCTCCTCGGCCTCGGCACGACATCGAATGTCCCCGTCAAAGAGACAAATAATGGTGTAGATGACCAGGGCGGCCGTACGCTGAAGGTGCGTGGTGGTATCCAGCATGACGCTCCCTAGGTTCTCATTCTCCGCTCCCTCGGACCCTTCGACCCCCGCGGCGGCATGGGGCGCGGACGCCTGGGTCGACTCATCATGCTGCTGCTGCTGCTGCTGCTGGACTAACCTGGTGGCACGGTCTGCGACGATGCGGAGGACAGCCCGCCCCATGGCGGGTGTACGTGACTGGTAGGCGACGGCGGCGGTGAAGGCGTCCTGCACAATGAGGGGCAGGTCGGAGGCGAAGAGCTGGCCGTGGATCAGCGGGCAGCGGGCGTCCGAAGTCCACTGGCCCACCCAGCGCTGGAGCTGGCCGACGAAATGGGGGAGGGCCTGGTCGGTGAAGCTGACGCGGCCAATCAGGTGAGGAGCGGGTTTGGCGTTCCAGGACGTCGGGTTGAGGAACCAGAGGTTGGCGATGTAGGCGTCGATTTCGTTGACCGGCTGCTGATGCCAATGGTGGTGCAGGTGCTGACGCTGCTGCTCCTCCGCGTCTTGTACAGGGGTGGCCGTGGTATCCGGGGTCAGCCGGGTTGTTGTCGGGACGGCTATCTGATTCGCGGGACCTACGCCGCCGATGGGAGCGGCTACGGCGGAGATTCCCTGACCGTCCTCGGTAAAGACGAGATGATAAGGGGGTGCGACCCGAGGGGCCGGGTATCTGCAGTCGATGCCCTGCCTGGTGCAGCGGGAGCAGGCCGGGATCTGCTTGGAGCACCTCCTTTTGGCCTTGGTGCAGGACACGCAGGCCATGATCCTGCGGGTGGACTGGGACATTACGGAGAGTAGTCTGAGTAGTGATCGAATGGGGTGAGTCTGACTGTCTGACTGTCTGCGTTAACTTGCGTCGGTGGTCAAGATCAGTCTAGGTACATGTAGTAAGCGCATGAGAAGTCCGAGGGGAAAAAGTGGGAAGGTGGTTTGTCCTTGTTGTCTGCTCACAGGAGACACGACGTTCGTCAGCTTGCGGCGAAATGTCCGCCCTAGATAATGTTAGATCCGCATGCGGGCGTGGATCCGCCCTCGCGGGTTTTCTTCCGCTCCCCGTCACCAGGTGGGGATGAATTTGTTGGGTATCCGGGGTGTCCCGAAGGTTCCCCCCTTAATTATCCCGAAGGCACTGTTAGACCGACGGATTTCTCCCCGTCTAACTAGAAAACAGAAACTCCCAGCGTCATTATCATTGTATCAGTAGGAAAAAAGCCCGTCATTGCATGAAAATCTCCGATAGATCACCGAATGAGTATCATCGAGGTATAAGAAGCCTGGAGTAGGGGGCACAAATCAAAAGAATGGCTCAGGTCCAACAGCAGTCAGAAAGAACTGATACAAGTCTACAACACTCACACTCACGCTCACACTTACGCTACGCACCTCTCTAATCCTCCTCACCATGAGCCTCCCCTCTCTTCAAAAGTACCACAAAGCCCCCTACCCGGCCATCGACCCCAAGCGTCCAGAACTCAGCCAGGCCGGGAAGACCGTCCTCATCACAGGCGGCAACACCGGCATCGGCTTCGCCATAGCCCGAGCCTTCACCGCGGCATCTGCCAAACGCGTCATCCTCACGGGCCGCCGTCCGGACGTGGTTCGGGACTCCGCCGCCCAACTCGCCCGGGAAGCCGAGCAGCTGGGCTCACCTACCGTTGCCGACGGGCGCGTGTGCGACGTCTCCTCGCTCGAGGCGTCCGGGAAGCTCTGGGCCGATCTCCAGGCGGAGGGGATCGTGGTTGACGTTCTCGTGCTGAATGCGGCGGCCATGGGGGCGCAGAAGAGTATTCTCGAGAACGGAAGGGATGGCGTCTGGCAGGATTTCCTGGTGAACGTGCGGACGCCGCTTGATTTTGCAGAGCGGTTGTATAAGCAGCCTGGTCAAGGGACAAGACAAAAGGTAAAGCCTTTCGTTCTTCTTCTTCTTGTTTTCTCGCCCCTTTGTCTTGGCCCTTCATAAAGCCCATGCGATGGTTCCAAGTTCTAACCCACCTTGCTCGCCAGTTCATCGTCAACGTTTCGACCATCGCTTCCTACATGTGGACGACCATGGGGGGCGATAGACCCACGTACGGTCTCACCAAGCTCTCGGGGAACGCGGTCGTCCAGCAAATCGCCAGAGATGTGAAGCCGGAGGTGATGCAGATTGTCAGCTTCCACCCCGGTGGCATCCTGAGCGAGTCGGCACGTAAACACATTCCCGAGCAAGTGATTAACAGCATGGTGTGGGACGATGGTGAGTTTCGTTCGGTACTCCCTAGAACGACGGATGACGGATGACGCCGACGGGGAAGCAGCAAGCTACTGCTAACGCAAGACGCCTTGTAGAAAATTTACCCGGCCGCTTGGCTGTCTTTCTGGCCTCTCCAGAGGCCGAGTTCCTTCACGGTCGCTTCATCTGGTCGAACTGGGATGTCGAAGAGCTGAAGACCGGCGTTGTCGGGGAGCAGATCAAGAAGGAACCGCATTTCCTCAAGGCCGGTATCGAGGGTTTGTCGGAGAGCATGCTTCCACCGAAGTTTTAGTCGCGTGGGTTGGGTGTTGCCAGTTGGGTTGGAAATAATAAGCGCCCTGCACATTGTATTACATGCGAATAGGGCGTAAATTATGGTATAATTTTAGTACCTTACGTAAGGTAGGAGCACGCGGCACGGGCGGATGTTCCCGTCAGACCCGTTGTAAAAAGCGGAGCTAGTCCATGGCCCGATCCGCCGAAGTACTCCGTACAGTTCTGTACCTAAGGTACTGTAACTAGGTACCAAGTGCACCGCAAGGGGTCACTGAGGGCGATGAACGTACAACGGAAAATAAAGAATAATGCTGTTTGTGCTTCGTGCAGCTCATCATTACCTAGTGGCTGGTTGACCGTTGGTCGTTGGCCTCGGCTGTCACCCTGTCAGGGAGCAAAATACGACCAAAATAACCACCAACCAACGCGTCCCGCCTCTCACTCCGTATTCATCCTGCAGCTCAGTCCAAGGCGCGTTTCATCTCAAGGACGGGACGGGGTTAGCAGGCTCCACGTGTGTACATCTTAATGGGCGTTAAATGCCGGAGTCTTTAACAGGTCCGAAGTAATTATTCGTAATGACTGTCGGGAATGGGGCCCGCCCAGTAGAGTTGTCCAGACTCGTCCAGGGCATCAAGGAGGAGCCCCTGGGGAAGAGTCTAGAACTGGCACGGGCCGGCGTGGCCCGATCGTCTTGGCCAGATTGGGTGCTCATTCCCGTTGGGACAGCTGGAGTCTGAGCTGTGAAATGCGATGTAATTATGTACGGATTCAGATGGAAGCTTACGAACTAGGCTGGGTACTGTGGCTCCAGGCGTCAGGGGCGCAGATTGCAGAAATGAAGCGCGTCGTAGGCTCTGCAGGTCTTCTGCATGTGGGTTTCAACATTGGCACTTTTTTCCTCTTTTTCCTCTTTTTCCCCTCCACATAGTCTCGTTTCTTTCTCTCCTCCTTTCGATCCGTTCTCCCTTTGTTCACCTTGACGGGAGTCACATAATTTGAGCTCTTTAGCTGTCTTTACCGACAGACCACCATTACCGCAGGTCCTTGTCTCTCAATTCTTCGGATTGCTCTCGGAGGTCTTTTCCATCGCTTGTTCCTATTATATCCCATCGCGAGGTGACCCATCGGTTTTCATACGTCTGGCAGGACCAGGCTTCCACCCCCCTCACGCTCATATACTTACACACACTTCGACTGCCCCTTTCGCAACTGCACCTCATCACCTCATCATGTCCGAAGAAGGAGGCCTGCCCAACCACTCTGGTGGTCGCGGCGTCACTAGTGAGAAACGTACAGAAAAGGACGAAAACAACACCCAGACCACCTCCGAAAACAACACCCAGAACCAGAGCCAGAACGAAAAGGACAAAGAGATGCACCGCAAACTCGCTACACTAGAACCGCTACAGCCACCCAAGGAACCCCAGACAACCGTCCATGTCTTCGACATCGCCTCCCCCGCCCTCCCCCCGACCTCCCTCAACTACTTCAGCCGCGACGACACCACCATGGAACTCGGCGACTACTTCACCGGCCCCCGCGACATCCAGAAACACTCCAAGTGGCCCCTCTTCCTCCAAATCCACGGCTCCATCCTCCCCAAGGTCGTCCTCCCCTTGACCATCCTCAGCCTCTGGGCCGCCGCCGTCACCACCGTCTCCGAACTCGTCCACGAACTCGGCGTCCGCTCCATCCTCCTCACCGTTCTTGGTTTTGTCGTCGCCCTCGGCCTCTCCTTCCGCTCCTCCACCGCCTACGAGCGCTACAGCGAAGGCCGCCGCTACTGGGCCCAGCTCATCTTGGCCACCCAGACCCTCGCCCGCGTCATCTGGGTCCACACCAAAGACCACCCGGACCTGCCCCGGAAGCAGTCCACCCTCCGCCGCATCAGCTGCCTCAACCTCCTCCTCGCCTTCGCCGTCGCCCTCAAGCACAAGCTCCGCTTCGAGCCCTACACCGCCTACGACGACCTCCAGCACCTCGTCGCCCACCTCGACACCCTCGCCCGCGCCGCCACCGAGGCCGACCCGGACGCCGCCACCACCGCCCCGCAAAAGTCCTTTTACAAGGAAGTCGGCGAGTACCTCGGCCTCGCCTTTGCGGAATCCAACCCGCGCAAGCGCATCAAGAAGGCCTCCCGCCCCCTGGGCAACCTGCCCCTCGAGATCCTCTCCCACCTCTCCGTCCTCATCGACGCCACCGTCGACGCCGGCCAGCTGCCGACCCCCATGCACCAGACCCTCGCCTACAACAACCTCACCGTCCTCAACGACATCCTCACGGGGACCGACCGCGTCCTGACCACCCCGCTCCCCATCGCCTACAACATCGCCATCGCCCAAATCACCTACCTCTACGTCTTCCTCCTCCCCTTCCAGCTCCACCGCGACCTCGGCTGGATCACCATCCCCGCCTCCCTCGCCGCCGCCTACATCATCCTCGGCTTCCTCCTCATCGGCCGCGAGCTCGAGAACCCCTTCGGCCACGACGTCAACGACCTGCCCCTCGAGGCCTACTGCCAGCAGATCGCCCAGGAGCTCGACGTCATCGCCTCCATGGACGTGCCGCGCCGGGACCCTTACGGCGTGCTGGTCGAGAATGCCAAGAACCTGCCGCTGTACCCCGTCAGCATGGCCTCGTGGGATACGTGGGCGAGGCGGCCCGAGGCGAATATCTGTGATGTGATCCGCCGCAAGCCGGACATTCTGTTCCAGTCGCGCAAGAAGACGGACGAGGAGAGGGCGAGCGCGAGGGCCAGGGACGAGCCTTTGGGGCGGTCGAGGACCCGGGAGCAGGGTTCGGCTAGCAGTGGCACTTTGCATGGTGATCACCACGTCTAGAGGGCGTGTCGTTGGAGTTCTTTTCTCCTATCTTCTTTTTTTCTTGGCTGTCTATCATCTGCGGCGAACATGATTTTACAAAGCAAAGGGACAACATAAGCGAGCATTTTCTTCTATGGAACAGGACGGGATGGGGTTTGAAAAGCATCATCTGGTTTGGCTTTAGGATTGCAAATCTTGAGAATCAATTTGATACCATCTTGATATTAACTAAACAGATCTCTTTTGAAGCTACAGACATGCCACATTTTGACTGTAAGAGCCAAGTACACGTTCAACAATCTCCAAAAATGACGCCCCATCCTATCTATTCGCAAAAGGGTATATAATCCACCATTAATCAACTCTCTTTCCATGACCAATACGCTGGACATTCTTCTCCGCTACAGAATCCCCAACCCCCCCTGGTGCGGACTTCTGCTCGGGCTCGGACTCCCCCGCCTCCTCGCCGGACCCATGTACGCCCGGTGCAGCATCCTCTTCCACTCCGTAATCCGCTGTATCGCACCCTCCACTATAATCTCCCCCACCTGCAACTCCTTCTCCAGCGCCGGCACCGTCAGCCAGTTGTGGTTCGGCCCGCACGCCGAAGTGTGGCCCGGCGAGAAGCTGCGCAGCTTGATCGCGTTCTCCAGGCACCGCAGGCAGAACCGCGTGTCGATGCAGTACATGCACACCGCGTACGTCTCGTCCACCTCAAACCGCTTCATGCAATAGTCGCACGCCAGCGCCGGCGCGAACTCCCCCTCCTCCGAGAACACCTTCGTCAGGTTCATCTCGCCGCCCCCTCGCTTCGGCGAGACCCCCAGCCGCGGCGAACTGACCTGCCGGTCCGACCTGAGGCGGCCCCCCGAAGCATTGTTGCTGATGCTGTTGCTGCTGCTGCTGCTGCTGCTGCTCACCACCACCGGCTTGCGCGTCGACTGGCAGAGCGCCCTCGCGTTGGGCTCGTCCCCCGCTGCGATGAGGATCCGCTGGAGGTTCCGGATGCCAATCTCGTCGTTCTGCGGTTCGTCATCCTCCAAGATATCCAGGCTCTCCATCACGAGCGACGACGCCAGCTGTTTCGCCTCGTCGACCCGGTCGCGGAACCGGTAAAAGAGCACCAGGAAGATGGACGCCTCGTTGACGTCGAACCCGGCCATGTGCTGCGGCACGTTGCGGTTCTGGTACTTGCGCTGCTGCTCCTGCAGCTTCTCCAGCTTCGCCGTCCACTTGTCCACCGCCGGACTGCGCAGGCTACCGTCGCCCTCCTGGAGCGCCTTGAGGTAGTACAGGCTCGCGAGGTTTCGGAACGAGCTCGCGTACTCGACCCGCACGGCGATGCTGCCTCTTGGTCTGTACTCCTGGAAGCAGATGGCCTCTTGGATGATGATTGCCTTGTCGTATTCCTCCGCCGACATGTAGACGCGACCCAGCGCGTTGCGGAGGTAATACTCCTTGCGAGAGTTTATCTCTTCCTGCGCGATCTTGATGGCCGCTTGGTAGCGTCGCGCAATCCTGGCCGTCCGGTTCGTCCGCGCCGCCGCATCGGGTATCCAGTCTCTCGTCGCGTCGCTGGGGATCTGGTCGAGCAGGAAATAGACCAGCCGCGAGTATCCGTTCTCGGTGTACCTCTCGTCCAGCTCGTCGAGCAGCCTGGTAATCTCGGCCACGCGGTTGTTCTCGGCCAGGATCATCATAAGGGCGGCCTCGGGCTCGAAAGCCGGACAATCGTAAGCGTGCTTGATGGCTTCGCAGCAGTACGTGACGGCGCTCTCGACCCGGCCCAGCTTGCGGTAACACTGGGCAATCTGGTAGAGGTTCTTGTAAAACCGCCAACGCGCCGTGGTGTATTCCTGGTGCGTCTTGTATTTCTTCTCCCGCAGGTTCTTTTCCTCCACCACGTTGGACATGAGGTGGAGGTTGAGGGCCTTCTTGTAGTTGCCGGCCATGTAATAGCACACGCCGATGCGACCACACGTCTCGACGATGTTCCGGTCCAGTTCCATGGCACGGTCAAAGTTGAGCAGCGCCTGGTTGTGGTGGCCTAAGGTGAGAAGAGTGCTTCCGATCCTACGATACAAGTGACCCGTCTTGGGCTGCCTCGACCACAGTGCTGCCCTCTGCACTCGCGTCTCCGCCGGCACATCTTCCCAGTGGTAGACCGAGTCGGACCACTTGGCGCCGCGATCCATCATCGCCAGCGACTGCACGACGCCGAAACAGAAGAGTGTCGGGATGTACATGCCAAAGTCCTCCTTGAGCCAGGCCTGGGCGAATATCCTGCCGAAGGGTTCCAGGAGGCTCACGGGAGCAGCGACGGCCTTGGCCGCCCAGGCCCGACCCTCGTCTGCGAGGCCGCTTACGACGTCGGGGTCGGCCATCCAGGCGCGAACGACGTCGATGCCCTTGTCACTCCAAATTTCCAGGCTCTCCTCGAACAAGTTCGTCCAGGCCAGTATCACGGGCCGGTCGGTGAGCATAGTGTAGATCCGCTTGCCGAGGGTGGCCTTGGTGGGCGCCGGTAGAGCGGCCCGGTCGAGGTGGGCGAGATGTTCTTGCCAGTAGCGAGCTGCGTAGCGTTGAAGCGACAGTCCCTGGAAGCCAAACGAGGGGCAATCCGCATCGGTGAAAAGGCGGAGACACGTGTCTAGGACGTGCAGCTTGGCGGCGGCCGTGTTGAAGCCTATGGAAGGGTGGTTGGGAGAAGCGCGGATGTCGGTGGAGCAGTCGGCCAGGAAGAATTCGTGGACCGAGGCATGGAAGAAGGTCACCCATGTGGTCTCTTTGTTGGAATGGAACTCGACTTCCCTCTCGGCCTCGGACAGGTCAGGGCTGCGTCGGGCGGCGGGATCCAGGGCGTTATTGTCTTCGTCCACGTTGTTTCTCTCGGCGGCCAAAGCGCGTTGCTGCTGGTACCGCTCGACCAGGTCGGCGGTCGACAAGCCATCCTCGCGCTCCAGGGTAAAGAAGGAGGCGAAATGGGTCCGTAGGGATTCTTCCAGGTGCAGGGGAGGGTCGCCAAACTTGAGGGACAGGATGGCCTCGATCTGCTCCAAGGTCAGGGCGGTCTCGGCGCAGCAAACCCACTGCAGGACCTCGTTCAAATCGCGGGCGTCGGCCACGGTGATGGTCTCGGAAAAGCGAAGGATGGATTGACGAAGCATGCCGTTGATCTCCTTTGGATACGACTGCAACCTTTCGAGAACGCCGCGCATGTGGCGTTCCCGACTGAGCTCGGAAAGCATGAACTTGGCCAGGATAAAGAGGCCGTCGACCTGCTTGGCCATGACGCGAACAATCTCCATCTTCAACTCTGGCGACAGGCCCCGGAGGTTGTGGGCCTCGTTGACGCCGGCGACGATGTACGCGACGACGTCGTGGCCGTTCCTGTCCGGGGTGACGTGCAGGGTGCGCAGTTGTTGACCGCCGGTCGAGTCGTTCTGGAGCGGGGGCAGGACGATGTCGGAGATGGCGTTCCGGCCGATGAGAGCCACCTGGACACGGGTGCCCCCGGGGGACTGCTTATGGAGGGTGTCGAGGAGGGAGAGGAACTCGGTGAGCTCGGCCGGGTCGGCTTCGTCGAGGCCGTCGAGGATGACGTAAATGTGGCGCTTCCACTTGTCGCCGATGCAGGGCTCGACGAGGATGCGGCGGAAGGCGCTGGCGACGGTCTTGATGTCGTCGGAGCTGTGGAGGGCGCGGAGCAGCTGCTTGCCGTAAAAGACGTCGATCTCGCTGAGCTGGTAGGCAACGTCGCGGAGGGCCTGGACGACGGAGCGAGTTTCCGGGTCGGTGTGGCGGAAGAAGACGTAGCCGAGCATGTGGTTCGCGTCTTGCTCCTCGAGCATGCGGAGGCCCCAGCGGATGAGGCGAGCGGCGAGATAGGATTTGCCGCTGCCCATGTTGCCGCAGATCCAGAGAAAGCGGCAGCTGCCGTTGACCCACGCGTGGAGGGACGGGTCACGGAGAAGCCAGTCGCAGGTGTTGGGGGTGCGGGTGCGGTCGAGAACCTCGTACGTATCTTGCGGGTGGACGGAGGGACGGAGGATGTGGCGAAGGCGATCCTTGTTGGCAGAGAGAGCGGACTCTCGGGTGTCGGATCGCAAGGTCTGGACATTGATGTCGAGGCGGGACATCATATCGAGGAGGCGGTCCTGGTTGGACAGGGATTTCTTCACACCGGCCAGGCTCTCGGCGCCGACGAGGCGACCCTCGGCCTCGGTCAGGAGGGTCAGGCGGCGCATCGGCTCGTCCACGGGACTCCCCTTGCCGAAGAGACGCTTGAAGTAGGCCCTGAGGCGGCCCTGGCGGACCTCGGCGGCGGCGACGACGAGTATCTCGAATAGGGAGACGAGGATTTGGACGATCTTCTCGTGCAGTTCGGTGGAGAGGCGCTGGGAGAGGTAGAACTTGAGGCGGGCGGTGAAATCGCACAGCTTCTCGAACAGCTCGACGATGGAGTCGTAGCAGGACGAGACGTTCCTGGCGGTGTTGATGAGGTAGACGGCGGCGGCGAAGATGCCCTGGCTCGGTGGGAAGACGGCCTCGGCGGCGGCTTCGGCGAGGGTGCCGCCGATGAGCTCGAGGGGGCCCATAGCGGCGGAGAGGGCGTGGAAGAGCTTCTGGCGGCGGGCACGGAAGGCTTCGAACTGGTCGTTCTGGTGGTTGACGACATTGAGGAGGTCCTCGACGGAGCGCATGGGCGGGTTCAAGAAGTCGGCGAGATCCATGGGCTGGGCGCCGGACTGGCTGTATAGCCTTTGGGCATCGCGAAGGACGGCGGCGAACTGACGCTGCATGTTGCTATCTGCCCGCCGCAGGCTCTTCTGCAGGTCTTTGTCCTTGCCCTGGTCGTCGGCCATGGTGATGGCGAGCGACGGGGACGACCGAGAAGTGTGGTCAAGATGGAATGTTGTTGTTCTTGTTGTGTTGTTGTTGTTGTTGTTGTTTGTTTGTATGAGCTGAGGGGTGATTAGATGAGAGGAAGTCCGAAAATGGAGGGAAAAAAAGAAGAAAAAAAGAAGGAAGCTGAAGCAGAAGTCGCGGGGTGAGACGTGACGCACCTCAGTGGGGATATGCAAGGTAATGCCTAGTAGCCAAGCAGAAAGACGAAAGTGAGGGGCAATTGGATTGGAATTCCTCCGTCAGTGTGGCTCTTGTCGGGTCTCGTCTCTCTGGTCCACGAGAGGTCGGTCGAGGAGGATGTTGAACAGGGGAAAACAAGAAAGCTTTGCTTGGCCTCCTTGGCCCAGCAGGACCGGGGTGGGTTAGATAAATGTTGAATGCGGGATAGGAAAACGCAAAGGCGAGGCTTAAGAATGACGACGGCTCGGTCAAGAGAGCATGAAGGTGGTGGATGGGAAGAAGGCTGTGTGGGTGGGGTGTCGGTGTCGATGTGGTGGTGTCACTGGTGTGTTCCGGCACTTCATAGTAGGTCGCGTACTTCGAGTGAAACACGAGCGGAGGAAAATGATGTGTCGGGAGCGAGGATTTGACGGCTTGTGGTTCGCTCTAACTCGCCGAATTTTCCCAGGTCAACGGACAACAGAAGGGGGGGAAATGCCGGTCTGATGGACGGGTGTGGTTTCGGTCGGAAGCGAATGCAGAGTAGGAGAACCTGGGGAATCCCAGGCCGGTCAGTCAATCGACGATAATAGTAGGTTACTGTAGCGGGCCGGATGATGGGGATGGTGTCAGTGGGGTGTCAGGCGACTTGGCCGGCTTACCTATTACCTGCGAATATCCAGCAGGCAGCGGAGCGGTCCAAGCAGAGCGCGGTAACGCGGACCCAGACAGCGCTCAGGCAACAGGAAGCAGGGGGTGGTAAGGTGGCATGGCATTGGGTGGCCAGAAAGGACGAAAATAGGTGAAGCCAGTCAGCTGGTGGTTGCCTTTTGAGGCATTGTCGGTGCCCGAGAATGGATGCATATTCCTAAGCCCTCATATTCCGAATTCGTTCATCGTACATGTCGTAGATCTACCCGCGGTGGCTGAGTAGGTCCTCCAATTCATAATAAAGGGTCGTCTCCCATCAGAGGCCCACCATCACAGAGTCAATCCATCATAGGGTCAATCAACTGTAACGTGGGCGGTTGAGGCGTCATTATTGGCATAGTCGTAGCCGGCCGGCTACCGGCAAGAAGGGAATGTTGCAGCGGAGCGGCATTGAGGGCAGGCGACGACACCGCTGCCGATCATATCACGATCACGGCACAGCCGGCCGGCACGATAGAATTTGAGTCATCCCGAAGTTGTTAAGACGGGGCTCTGCCTCGTCCTCGTGATCGACGATGAAGGGGCGATAGAGTCGATGGCGACGTGGAAAGTGTTTGCCTGGGAAGCGATGCGATGGGACAAAGAGTAGGAGAAATGAAAGATGAGAGCTGAGCTCTGAGCTCTGAGACCGAGACGTTCTGAGGAGGCACCGTAGCTCGGGCAGATTACGCGTCCCAAAATGTACGAGGTACTTACTGTATTCGTACACTCCATGTCATGTGTTTGTGGACGTCATCACTGCTGGAACAGACAGTCAGAGCAGGCAAGAGCAACCTAGAAGGCAAGAGCAAGGCAAGAGCAAGGTACGGTGGAGTGGTCACTGAATTACCATGTTCGATGTGTCGTAGGGAAGGTGCCGCCCATAAGTACCTGCTTATAGGTACTGTACCTAGATGCCCTGAGTTCACCGACAGGTTTTCGACAACCACACCGAGGTCCCCACAACGACCCTCCTCATTGAAAATTTCTGCTTCTACCAAGTATTATGGTATTTTATTTCTTTTCTTTCTTTTCCATGCTCTGCCAAAGCCGGACACTTACTTCGAAAAAAAGAAAGAAAAATCATTTGAAACATTAATAGAGGTCTCGATAGTCGCCTCGAGAATGTGATTGGCCTTATCAAGCGCCTTAATCGATCTGGCGAGCTTCTGATTACGTGCTGTAACCTTATAGCCTTCGAGTTTGGCGAGTTCGATCAGTTCCGACGTGGTGGGAGCTATAATCGAACTCGCCAAACTCGAAGGCTATAAGGTGACAGCACGTAATCAGAAGCCCGCCAGATCGAGTAAGGCGCTTGACAAGGCTAATCACATTCTCAAGGCGACTATCGAGACCTCTGCCTATCAACAGGCCGTCAATTCTACGTTTGATGTCGAGCTATTTTGCATCGAGAATAACCACTGGTTTGCTCCAGGAAAAGGAACAATCCCCTTGGAAGCATCTTGGAAGCATCTTGGACTACTGCTCCCGGTGCTGTGTCCGAACAAGGCATTCAACAACAGGCCTCGCAGTACCACAACGTACTTCTTCAATTACACCATTCCGACGGCGAGGTTTTCTTTTCTGGTTTCTGTGTTCCTCGTTCCTCGTTCGGCGCCGGGCTGGCCGGGGCTTGGCGCTAGCTTCCCCGCCAGAGGTCGGAGGTCGGAGCGTTAGACAGACCTCTGTTAGACAAGAGTCGCGGTCTCCGGGGAGCCACACTGGGCAGTGGGCAAGGTAGTGGGCGTTGTGGGGAAGCACATCCACTGAATCTTCCGGCGAGGTCCCTCTACGGGGATTCCCCAGCGCTGCATGACGGAGTGTTGGGAAGCCCCCCCCCCTACTAATGACTGACCTGACGGGATGCAGGCGAGTGGCTTTAAATAGAACGCCACCTCAGAACCAACCGTTGGGGGCCGTTTCAAGCCACCGTCCACCAACGCACAGTCGGCCCAGGCCAAGACGTTCCACTATTCAACTATCCTCATTCAGTGCCGAAAGCGCCGCCGTCCATACTAGGAGGAGGAAGGGAAAGGAGTTCGACTTTGCCCATGCGACTCGCTGCGCGGGTGGACGCACTGGACGGGGACCAAGGGCACTATGGACCATGGACTGGACACCATGGACCCCTCCGCTCAGCTCGGGGAGGATCCCGCCCATACCGCATGTCTCCCTTGCGGCCTCCCGTTGGCCTTCTTTTCGGCCTGTCGGAACTTCGCGTTAACGTGACGCCGGATAACACGAGAGCGCGAAGAGGGGGACATAAGAATCAAAAGAATCCTGCCGAGCGTGTCGGGCTTTTAAGGATTATTTCCCCAACCTTCACAGGCCACATAAATTCATTATTCGCCATCTTCCTTGATACTCCTCCTGCTACCCTCTCCCTGCCGCCTCGCTCATTTTAGTTCAAGACCGAAGGCCGACATTGTCGATTGAGTTACTCGAAGATCAACGCCACCGTCGACGACCTGACGAAGCACCGAATACATTGGACTCGCACGTAATTCCGAAGACAGACTTGGCCATCGACCGACGATACGATACCTTGCTTCATTGAAGAGAACGAGGTGGTTAACACGAACCAAAGAGGGATCCCCCTTTGTGGAAAGAACATCATCTACAATGGCGACCAACGGCGATGCCTTGGCCGCTGCCGTCAATGGCACCAACGGCACTACCAACGGCACCACCAAGCCACACCTCCTCTTCTGCGCCCTCCCGGGTCCCGGACACACCCTACCTATCCTTCAGATCGCCGAGGAAATGGCCGCACGGGGCTACTCCGTCAGCTTCCTCGGCGGCAAGGAGTTCTTCCCCAAGATCGAGAAGATCGGCGCCGAGCCCATCGAAGCCGCTCCCTTCTTCTCCATGGACCTGTTCAAGATCCGCGTCGCCGTGCCAGAGGGCTTCCTCAAGCTGATCTTCGACATCGAGAAGGTCTTCATGGCCTACATCCCCACCGCCTTCCAGCAGCTCAAAGACGCCCTCGAGATGCTGCGCCGCCGCTACCCGGACCGCGAGGTCGTCGTCGTCCACGAGTCGTACTACTTCGGCGCCCTCCCCTTCATGCACGGCGCCCCGCTCCCGGAAGGCTTCGACAAGTTCCCCCGCACCCTCAACATCCACATCGGCCCCGTCTGGACCACCAGCAAGGACACCGCCCCCTTCGGCCCGGGCCTGCACCCGGACTCCACCCCGTCGGGCCAGGACCGCAACCGCCTCCTCAACGACCTCATGTACGGGCCCGACATGCTCTTCAAGTCCGCCACCGAGACCCTGGCCACCGTCATGACCGACGCCGGCGTCCCCGACTTTCCCGTCCGGACCCTCAACTTCCTCGACGCCGTCATGCAGAGCTACGACGTCACCCTGCAGCTCAGCGCCCCGAGCCTCGAGTACCACCGCTCCGACCTGCACCACTCCATCAAGTTCGCCGGTTGGCCGCCCGAGAAGCCCATCAGCACCGGCTTCGACTACCCGGAGTGGTGGGCCGAGGTCGTCCGCGGCGACAAGAAGGTCATCGCCGTGTCGCAGGGCACCGTCGCCACCGAGTACGTCAACCTCCTCATCCCGGCCATCCAGGGGCTCGCCCACCGCGATGATGTGCTTGTCATCGCCCTGCTGGGCTCCCGCGGCCGCACCCTCGAGGACGTCCCCATCCCCGCCAACACCCGCGTCGTCGACTACTTCTCCTACGACGTGCTCCTCAAGAAGGCCGATGTGTGGATCATGAACGCCGGCTGGGGTGGATTCCAGCAGGGCGTCGTCAACGGCGTCCCCATGGTGTTGGCTGGCAATACGGAGGACAAGCCTGAGGTTGCGGCCCGGGCTGCGTACAGCGGCGTCGCTATTGATCTCAAGACGGGCAAGGCCACGCCTGAGGCCATTGCCGCCGCTGTGGGCGAGATTCTCGCGAATGACAAGTACAAGAAGCGCATTATGGAGATCAAGGCCGAGACCGAGGCGCTGCCGACCTATGATATTATCGAGGAGCACATCATCAAGGCGTGAGAGTCAAGACGTCACATGCACGACTAGGATTGGGACAAAAGGACAGACATGACAGCATTTTGCTATTCGAAAGCGATGAGGAGTTTGGGGGTTATACATGGTAATAATCACAATAGACGCTAGAGATTCCTCCTTGGATCTACTTTCATGAATTCGAAGACTTCTTTGACCAATATCGATTGTCCTACCGGACAGTTCCTCTCAGGAAAGGATCGTCTTTGAGCCTTTACTCTCGACGTGATGCATACCATCAACAACTGATTTCGAACAAAGAGCGGTGCTCTCGAACAAAACCTACACATTCGCCTTTCTCACAAACAGAACCGACTTTCAAAATCATCACCATTGTTATCATGACTATTCAGATCCAGTCCTATTGATTTAAACACCCCAGCATATCCATCTCCAGGTATAAATATAACGTCTCTCTGCCCATTATCAACCATCCTCGTTAACCATCCTCATCAAGGCACTCAGACACATCACCAACAAAAACACGCAACAAAAGTAAGTATGTTTCCTTCCTTTTGGTCAACCCGTTTTGGCCGGAACGCACCTGACAACCGTCTCCCAACTCTCCCCATCGAGCTCCGAGCGAACATCGCAAGGCAATACGTTAACAGACTCCGCTCAGAACTAGTATGGAACGATGACGGCGATGCCACCAACCAGTTCCTCCCGCCCCTCCGCCACATGCGCCGACCCATCTACCCCCACACCGAGTGGTGGGTGCCACCGCACGGCCGCATCATCGACGGCGCCGACCTACGCGACCACCCGAACGACAACACCCTCCCCAACCGCGTGGAAAACGACCCCCTCCGGCGCGAAGTCATGACCCACCTGAACCCGCTGCTGCGCACGAACCGCGAGATGCGCGAGCACACCGTGCGCTCCTTCTGGGAGGACACCTGGGTCAACGTCGAGATCACGTCGGGGCGGCACGGCACGCGGTTCCGCGAACTCGCCGACGGGACGCAAATCGCCATCCCCGTGTTCACGGCAGGGTCGGATAGCCGCATGGGCCGTCTCGTGCACCGGCTCGCGGATCCCGTGGTCGAATCGACGGCGCCCGTGCCCACGACCTCGCCGTACACGACGCTCGGTGAGCATATCCGCCGGTTGAGCATCCGGTTCGAACACGGCTTGCCGCCGTACAGCGGCCGGCAGGACGAGGTGGGGCCGTGGGACTTGCCGATGCTGCGGGAATGCATGCAGGAGCTGGTGAGGCTCACGCCCAACGTCCGCCGGCTGGAGCTGTTCTTCGACACGAACGATACCTTGCAGTACATGACCGAGAACGGCGTCTTGGACATTGTCACACAAATCTTGGACCAGCGGATTGCCCGCCGGGAAAGGGTCTTCTTGCGGTCCATCGTCATCCGTGGCGGCGACTGCCGAGCTTTGATCCTCGCCTGGCGCAGGCGGTATCCTGGACTTCGGATTGACGGGCTTATGTGGAATGTGAACCCGTACCTAATTATCCATTACCGTGATCGGTGGATATCGAATAACTTGCCTCGTCCTGATGCGCCTCCTCGGTGGGTTAGAGACGACGAGGAGGTGTTGGAGGAGGAGGGATAGGCTTAGCTACTCGCGCCTCTTCTAATCTTCTATAGGTAAGTCTCCCCTGAATCATATGAAGAGCGTTGATCCCCATCTAGGTAGGTTTTGACAGTCAATAACTCAATTACCCGAATGGAACCCACTACGAATCAATGAAAGTCCATCGATACACAACTCAATAGAATAAAAGACATGTATGAAGATTTATACCTGAATATGTGACTGTGAACGTATGAATCAGGCGTCTCTCAACTCCCAGAGCCATACGTGACAATGAAATAAGACGAGAGAATTCATGTGCATGGAGGTCTTGAGCACTAATCCAACTGGTACCGAAGTATTATAGAAAGGTGACCATGAGAGCTGAAGAATGTGTATAGCCTGTATCGTAGAACAATGTGATTGTATGCCCCTGAGTCGGGGGGGTTCTGAGGCATCGTCGACGACCAAGAGAGGATGCACTCAATTCCGATACTAGCACCGTTACACCTTGCATTGTACTTGATCCAATAGAACCATGACAGTAAAAAAAGATAAAGGTCTATAGTTTGTGAAGCCTTTTGTCGGAAAGGGGAATGTCCAGTGGGGAGAGCGAGGAAGAGGTAAAGGAAGAGGAAAAAGAAGAGGAAAAATAAAAAGAAAAATAAAAAGGGGAAGTAGGTACCTCCCGTCTTACCAATCCACTGCTTACGTAATGGGGAGTCGCGTAGTCGCGTTATCGCGAATTTTTGGTTATCACAATGCCCCAGTACGTACCGTACATAGCTCGCTGAAATCTTTCCTCCCTATCACCACCCTCAAGACAAACCCATCGCCACAATGGCCACCACATTACTTCCCTTCCTCTATCAAACGAGGACCCTTTTACGCGCTGGCGCGAGACTCCCACGAGTGACACTCACAGTCACTCCACGTTCACGTCCCCTCCACACATGCCACCGCCTGGCTCGTCAACCGCGAGACGACGACCTCGAAAACGTTCCCTTCCTCTGGGACGAAAAGTCCGAACAGGCCTACAAAGATGAACTGGCAGCGAAGAGTGGGAAGAGGTACAGGTACACTGACGACGATGCCCGCGGCGAGGATGCCGTGTCGTCGACCATCACGCCAGCGGAGGAACGGACCTTTCGCGAAATCTTCACCAACATAGCCCGCGGCAGCGTTGCCCGAGCTGCTTCCGTCACCCTTGCCAACCCCGAGGAGACCAAGAAGACTCAATTGCGCATTCTCGACATCCTGCGCGATGCCGCCGGCGAAGGGGTCCGCAAGACTGGTTCCTCGGCGGCCGCCGATGAGCGCCACACCATCCATCTCGATACCGACGCCGAGTCCATCCCGGAGTGGATGATGAAGTACCCTCCCTCGCTGCGCAGGTCTGCTCGCGCCGCTTTCGATCCCCTGGGTGCTAGTCGTCGTCGTACGCAGTCGGTACGCGGGGAAGAGGAACTGGAGCAGGAGCAGGAGCAGGAGGAACACGTCGACCCGGAGGCCACCCAGCCATCTGCGGAACATCAAGCAATCCGCGACCAAGCCGTTCAGCGGATGGACGCCCTCCTCCGCGCATGCCGGACCGATTTCGAGGTGTGGGATCTCCTAGAACGGGAGGTCTTCTCCATGACGAAGCGTCTCGGTATAATGGACCCGGGGTCACAGCATGAGTCCACCGAACCGCCAGCCGCTCCTGAGAACGACGCGCCGCAAAGCGCTTCCGCTACCCCAGAGCTCTCCATCGAGATCCACGGACCTCTCTACTCCGTCCACCTCCTCCAAAGCCTCCGAACTCTCGACGGGGGGTTTTCCCGCCCTTCGCCGCTCGCTCTGAGCATGCTCCCCCGCATCCGCGAGCTGGGTCTCGCCTCGTACGTCCTCGGCGCATCGACGCCCTTCTACAACGAACTCTGCGCCATCATGTGGCGCCGCCACGGAGATGTGCGTGGCGTCATCGCCCTCCTCCGGGAGATGATGTACGTCGGCTTGAGCTTCGACCAGGATACCCTGGACCTGGTGCACGAGATGGAGACGGCGCTGGACGCGATGGGCCAGGACGGCGCGCGGCCTTTCTCCAAGGTGCTGGCCACGATGCCGGACTACAGCATCGATGTGCAGTCGCAGCTGGCCAAGCTTGCCAACAAGGTTGAAGCGGCCGTTCGACTGAGATAGGATTCGGGGGACGCTATCATTGTATTATTACCCTCAACTATCATTACCATACCATACTGCTACCATAACTGAAACATGCTCATCGTGCGAGGCGGCAGCTAAATGGTACAAAACTTATATATATATTGTACGAATACTCCCTGTTTTTACTATACCATGGTCACGATTCAGGACAGCTTCGCACCTTATTAGCCTTTTGCCATTCTACGTGTACCTAGGACGTCCCCCAGGAACGCCTAGGTTTGTCCACCTGCGCATCAGGGTCTCCAGGTCGGCCTCCTCTAAGACGTCGTACTCCGTAGGGAATCCAAGGCCGGGGTCTTCTAGCTCGTCTTGTGGCTCGTACCCTGACGGGGCATTATTGAAGCCGTACCCTGACGGGACATTATTAAAGCCGTCCCCTGACGCGGCATTATTAAAGCCGAAGTCCAAACGACCCAAATTTTCTCGCGATCTGGCAGCCCTAGGAGGAGGGATCCGGCTTGCTTCTATGCCAACAGTTTCGGGTTCATGTACCCTACTTCTTGGAGCCGTATGGCTCATCATCCGGGTTTGTATGCGGATGTGATTCCCATTGTCGGGCACATAGTCGCCCAAGAGCACCATCCTCAGGGACGCCCCCGGCCGGACAAGGGTCGGCCAGCTGGCCTCTGCGATAAAGGTCCCCGTTGCTAGTTGGAAGTAAAACTCGCCTCGGTCTACTCGCTTTCTGACATCGGGGACGTCCCACGGCAGAGCGGTTATGTGCTCTCCGGTATCCTGCAGCCAAAAGCCTGGTCAGCTTCAAAAAAGCATGAGTAGCACGGAGGAGAGGAGAAAAAGGAACACGTACCGCCAATGTCGAGACTGCTGCATGTGGGAAGCGCCAGGTCCGTCCCATGGGATCGGTCAAGTGGACATACTCTGCGCTTCCCGCGACGGCGAGGAAGACAAGCAGGCTCGCCTGTCGGGGGAAGGCGGGATGACTGCGCGTCTCCAAACCGACACAGGTCCTCTTCCGCCCATCCAGTCGCACGGTCGTCGAGATGACGTGCTTCACAACTCTGCGGCCTTGCGAGCCTTGCGCCATGTATTCGTCCCACGCGGACTTGTTTCCCCGCCTCCGATGGAGCCGCTGCAGTTCATCGACGAGGACGTGGCGAGTGAAAGGTAGTTTCGTCGGGGCCCTTGCCAGCTCCAGCTCCAGCTCCCACTCCGACTCCGTCTCCGTCTCTAGCCTTCGCCACACCCCTATCGCGAGGTAGGCCTCGAGCTCGACGGCTTGGTCGTCATGTTCGAGGACCAGGGCTCTCCAGATTGCGCCGTGGCGGTCGAATAGTTTGTGGATCTGGATGGGAAGACGGCGGAGGAGCCTGTCCGACAGCTTTCGGGGTTCTTGATGCTCGTCTGTTGAGGGTCGTCCGCCGTAGAGTGTTGGTGAAGAGGACGAAGCGTTTGTAACCGGTTGAGCCGGTTTAGCTGCTTCCGCACTATTTTGAGTAGGGCCCTCTTCTTCCATAGTATGCTGACCCTGGCCCTCTTCTTCCCTCTTATCTTGGTCTGCGCGTTCTCTCTCGTCGCCTTGGTCCTAGCCATGAGCTTGATTGTTCTCATCCACGTTCGCCGGCATGATCCCGTCCTCAGCTGGGCCCGTGTCCTGAGTTTGACCCGATGCTTGTTGTCTAAGTGTTGTCAGTTGTGTCTGCTCGCGTCAAGAACCAAAATAAAGAGCCCACATGCATGCTCTACCTTGTCCGTCACAACTCGGGATAACTCACAGCTTTATGGATTCATTCGGCTCAGACCTCGGTCTCTCCGCTGGAGTCTCGGTCGATGCTCGGCGCCCGGGGTTAGGATAGCGGCTGCGCCGTCTCTCCCTGCTATACTCCGACCTTCGCGCCTGCAGGCGTTCCGCCATGCGCGTGAGCGCAATGCGCTCTTTCTCGCTGCCTGATGAAGACGCGTTTGCTACCCTACAAGTTTCCAATCGTCAGCACTGGTTCTACACGTACACAATGAGTCTATGACTATGCATAATTATTGTGAGTCGCGGGTGAATTGTGATTCTCAATGAGATACTGAGGCGTCTGGTGACTCTGGTCGTAAAAGCTCACCCCAGCTGGTATCGCGCCAGGGTTCCTATCTGCAGGTGCAGCACCAGGCTCATACGCAGCCACCGCAGTTCCTCCTGACACGCCTTCACCCGAGGCTCGACCCAGGGCCACTTCAGGTTCCGACCCAACTCGGCGAGCCGCGCAAAGGTGATGTCGCTGATGCCCAGCTTGGCAACGATGATCCTGCGCCGTTCCGAAGGCGGCGCGGTGGCGCTCACGATGACGTGAATAATGGCCCTGTACGTCTTCTCGCACCGGAATGCCAGGGATTCAATGTCGCGCCGGCCTTGCTCTTTGAACACGGTGACGGCAGCACGCGCCGCTTCCTCGGCGGCCTTGTCGGCGTCGAGTATGTCCTGGAGCTGTTTGAGCGCGGAAGCCGTCGAGCCCACGTCGGCGGTGAGGGCTTCTATACGGTCTGCGGCGCCGGCGACGACTTCGACGTAGGTTTGCAGGGTCGTGGCTAATTGGAGTCCAAAGGAAACAACACCAACGATCAACCCAGCTGTCTCCATGTTTCTTCTCACCTGTTGAGGCTGCGATCCTGCGGCGGGTTGTCCTGGGTGGAGCTGTGGCCCGCGGTGGCCACACTGGTCTGAAGGCCAGGAGGCTGTGTGACACCTGAGTTGATTATAGGGAATAATTAGGAGGGTGAACGCTGTGCGGCTGAAGGTGATGGTCTTACACGTGTACAGTGTTGACAACGACATGCATGAACAGCAAGCGAACGAATCAAAGAGATTCCCTCATTTCCCGTTCTGTTCTCTTTCGTGCCGATCTGAAAAGACGACAGGTCCAGTGATCAAACTCATTCTAGCTAAACAACAGACTAAATAGATATGGCCAAAGGAATGGTAGTTCCTTCATGTTCATAGAAGTTGGATCTTGAGATTGGAGGTCAGCTTAAGGTCAGACTCTGAGACTTATTACTTCAACTCCCGAGTGTTGATCTGATGGCTCCTAGGCCTCGACCGGGTAGGTATTTAGATCGTCGCAGCTAATCGGCAGACGTTTCTGAGAGAAGGAAGCAGACGGAGGACCGAGCGATGTACAGAAGACACAAACGCCTCCATTGCCTCCACCTACATGTAACGTAGGTAGCTTTGAAATAGTAGCAGAAATTCATGACCCTTCGGCGTTCGTGTTCGCCAAATCGCCCTATTGCATCCTATCTCGCGACTACCGTAACCTTACTCGGACTCCAGGTATAGATGGCGATTGGCAGGAATTTACTTCGTTTACGCGTGAAAGCATTAAGGAAGTGGGGGATTCGAGAAGTCCGAGGAGCGACGTTACCATTAAATAGGGCCCCGCTTACCCACAAGCTACGGCCCGTGACGGGATCGCTTCCCGAACCAAAGTACCACTTGGTTATCCCGACTGCCATGGACCCATGGTACATTACATTGTACCCTTTCCGAAATCCCATCGTCCACATACAACTACTTCATAAAATCGTAAACCGTTGTCTTTGGTCAATGGAAGGGAGCAGCAGGTATGATCATGATGACTCGGCTTGAGACCCGTCGTTCAAATGTGTATCGGGATTACCAAGTACTATGAAGTACGTACGGTACCTACGATATGATTCGGGCTTAAAGAGCGTCTGTCTACAGATACCACCGGATCGAGCAAATGTGGGCGAAAGGAAGGAAGAAGTAAATGCAGTTGTTCAGCTGGAAGTACTGGTATCTGCATCTCGACCCGGGCCACAAAGCTACCTTACCTACCTAAGGTACCTAACCTTACCTTACGTCAGTCTTGGTACCAAGCTCATGTATACAGTGTCGAGGACAATATTCACGCGGTATGCACGGACTAGGTATGGCATTTGTTGAATTGACGGGAGCGTGCTTACAGGGAGCGTTAATTCAGGAAATATATGATTATATTATCTATAAAAGAGAAAGAAAAAGGGGGCGGGTATACGTGTTCTAAATATATCTACTACCTTCTAAGCGAGGATAATAGGGCACCTCTAACTAATAGGAGAGTACTATACCGTGGCTCACGTAATAGAATATAATATACCCCCTAATTATTACGCCGTGATTAGCGGAATAATTAGTTAGCCTAACCTTAACCTAGCCTTATTTTTAACCTTAAAATAGCCTTAAAGGGTCGTAGAATACCCTTAATATCGAGTTAAAAGGCAGGAATAAAAGCTATAAAATAATAAAAATAATAATAATAGTAGTAAATAATAAAGGAAAAGTGCTATTAATAGTAGTAGTAAATAGGTGATAGTAAGGCCTTCCGTAGATAAATTAAAGGCGTTATGCCGGTGTTTTAGAGCTTTTGGATTCTCTCTCTTATAACCCTTATTCCGTTGTTTTTAAGGAATTTAACGATTTTTAATCTAATTTTTCCAAATTTTCCTATTAATAGTAATAAAAATAATAATAACATCGATATAGTAAGTATCGGAGCTTTATTTTTAGTGGCGCGTGCTAACTAGTAGCGTCGTTTAGGCTCCCCCCACCCTCTCGGCCGTTACCTATACCGCGGTAGCTAAGAAAGCCTCGGCTAATAGTATAAAGAAGACTAAGGGCAAAGCCGGCACTAAGAAGGGTGCTTCTATAAGTTATTTCTAAGCATTAGTCTACGATATCTCTGCTCTATTCTAAGCTAACTCCTTAGAAGACTACTAAGGGTAGTAATAATAATAATGAAGATACCGAGGATAATTTTATTCCGGTTCTATTTAATCCGCCCTACTTAGAATACGTAAAGGGTATTTATTCGGGGAAATAGCGTTTATTTAATTACTATATTTCCGTTCCTAACCGCTCCTATTGCTACTAAAAGTATAAGAATAGAAACTATATATACTACCCTCTATAAGTTCTTACCCCCTATCTAAGGCGCTTTATAATCGTGATCGTGTACTCTATTTCGTATTAGCTTAAAGATATATACGCTATTAAGTTTTACGACCGCTAACCTATACTTATAGTTTTACCGGCCTTATCTCCTTAGTTAAAATTCTTTTTAACTATATTATAGTCCGTAAAATTAATAAGGACTCGGAGGATAATAATAAAAAGGTGCGTTTATCGCTTTATATCTATAATTAAATACTCTAACTAACTAATTTCGCGTAGTTCTTCGCTAAACTTAAGTAAACGGTAAAGTTTATAATTTAACTAATAGAAGATGACGATAACGAGAAGTTCTTTAAGGAGGAGGAGCTTAAGGGAGCTTTTAACTAAGGTCCTAGTACGCCGACTACTATCTCTACCTCCTAGCTTACGGGGGTTATAATAGATATTTTACGGGAAGACGGTTTTATTATTACTCCTCCTAGTAAAGGAAATAGCGTAGATATCGCGTAGAATAGTGCTTAGGATAGTACTAATAAAGCTTAGTGAATTATCTAGTATACTTCTTCTTATATTTTAGGAATTACTTTTAGGTTTTAGTATAGTGTTTTAGTATTAGGATAACTATACCCTACGTTTTACTAAATTAACTAAACCGCCGGCGCGCGGTACGCCTAGGGCGCGGGAATTTCGACTTTAACTACTTCTTTCCACCCCCTCTATACACTAATTATATTAAGATATACTCGGAAGTTCTTAAATTTTTATCGTGGAAGTGCTTTTATTAATCCGTCCGCTAGTATTAAATTCGTAGTAAGATATACGACTCTAAATAATCCCTTTACGTTCTCCTACCTTACCTAAAAGCGCTATATATCTATATAGCGAAGCCTAGTCTTAATTCTAAAGCTATCGTTAACTATTAGGCGTCTCGTTTACGTGTTATTATAGTGGATATCCTAAGGAGATTCTGGATTGAAGCGTATTTCGACGAAAAGACGCTTTAAACCTATTATTTCCTTCGCCACTTACTCTAAAGCGAGTAGCTCTACTTCGGTTATAGACGTTATTACTATTATTTACCTTATTACTTTCTATATAACTGATCCACTAAATAGGCTAATAAGGTAACCCTATAAAGATCTTCGTGTATCTAAATTATCTATAAAAAAGGCGTCGCTTATAATAACTATCGCCTATAAACTAATACTTAATCCGTACTAAATTAAGAGGTCCCTTATTATAAATAAATAGCGGATAGCTTAGTCTACCACCTTATAGTACTCGGGAGAGGGGTTTCTAAGAAAGCGGGAAAGGATAAAGACGGCGAATACTATATTAGGACGTATTATAACTACTATATAAAGTATTAATCCGACCTTTTCTTAATAAGATTTAATCTTTTAAGCGATAGCTTTATCTTCTCTCTTCCGGTATTCTATAATTGGAATAGGGATTACTAGGTAGATATTTAGAGTATCTAAACTAAACCTAGCTACGATCTTTTCGATATATAAGTCGTGGGCGAGGAAAACCTTACGTTAAGGGCGATCTTAAGTAATCTTAATACCTAAAAACTAATCGACTTCCCCCTTTTCCGACACCTTAAACCTTATTTTAATCCCTTCGATAATCCTAAGGCCATTTATAATATTATCTCTATAAAATAGTATAAGAATATCGTCTATAAAGAAGATAATAAATACGTCTTAAGCCTTAGTGTAAAATAGGCACGGTTCTTCCTTACTAGCCTTTATCCCTAAGTCTATTAGAGTGGCCGCGAAGGTCTAGAACCATAGTCTAGGCGAGTCGTGTAGTTTATATAGTGCTTTATTAAGCTTTAAGCACTTATCGGGCTGCTTAAATCAATCGGGAAGTTCGTATATAACGGGCGTTCCTATTTTACTCCTTTAGACGTTAACGAAGGCGTTAACAATATTAAGTTACTTAATCTCTAGATTAAACTAAGTAGCTAGGGCTATAATAATATGAAAAGATCGTGTAGCGAGCATTACTATATAGGTTCCCTTAATTATTAAGCTCTCCTATAAGTCCCGTCGAATATATAAGCGTGCCTTATATTATTTAAGATATTCGTCTTAGTCGAACTTATAGATAAAAACCCACTTTAACAGAAAAGGCTTTAACTTCGCCTCTAAGCGCTTAATCTCCCTTTATATACGCTTCTTAATTAGCTTATTTACCTCTTTTTACGCGGTTTCCTTAAACTATTCACGTATCGGGTAGTTAGTAAGCTCCCGCTAATACCTTAGTATAGCCTTTAGGTAGTCTCGATAAACCCTGCCGTTAATTAAGGGCTTCAGTGACGTTATAGCCTCTCTTTTAGTATTCGAATAGATATTTATTTTAATATCGGCTACTCCGAGGATTATTAAATTAAAGGTTAGAAGCCCTTTTAGCCTATCCTAGCGCTTTTCTTATTAATTAGATAAGAAAAAGGTATAAGTTAAAGGTATATCTAGCTTTACCTAATATATCCGTGGATTAATCCAAATAGTCTTTCCTTAAGCACGGCGATCGGTGATTCTTATGCTAGCACGCGTTACTTCCTTTACTAGTATACTCTTTTTCCTTTAATAGGCGGTTACCTTAGGAGTCGGTCGGATAGGTAGTCTAGATCCGGACGCTATAGTATGGCTAATACCGTAGTGCGGATTAGGGGTAGCTAGTCCCTATACTATCGTCTATATACTCCTTTCTATAGTTAAAATCGTCGTAGTATCCGTATCAAGCTCTAGTATATATAATCCTAGCGTGTCGGTTATAGTGTCTTCTTTAGTGGCCGCTCCGTTATCTGATTAATTAGAAGAATTATTAATTAAAAGTTCCTCCGAAGACCACGGCTCTACGTTTATAATCTAAAGATTTCTACTCTAAGGATTAGGTATTACGCGTGGGGTTTAAAGTCCTGTTACGGGCGGTTCGGGTATATTAGGTATATTTAGTAGTAGCGACGAAGTGTTTAATTATACCTCTATTACTCTTACCCCTAAGTTTGAACCCGTGGACTATACTTATTCTCTAGAAAGTACGCTATTAATTAATCTACCCGGAGGGTGAGCCTATAGGATAAAGTCGTTATCTTTATTTTCTTATATTTCGTAAGTTATAAGCTAGTTCCTCGCCTCGGGCTTTAGGATCTATTCTGCTTCTTCGAGCTATAGTTTATAAAATAGCTACTCGTTAAACTATATATTACGCGTTATAATAACCTTCTAAAGCTATAGAATC